CAGTTGGTGCCAATTAAGAGACCTTGGATGTCTCTATGATACTTTATGGCATGGTTTTGTGAGAAAGAATGAGTTTGTGATACAGAGATTGTGGTATGAACAAAGCTCCAGTAGTCTTTGGCCACTGGCATTCATCTTTCCAATACCATGATAGCCAAGGCATGCGGGCCACGCGTCGTGGTCAGCCCCAACCCTTGCATTGAAGTCTAGCAACAGAAACATGTGCTCAGAGCTGGGGATTTTGCGAATAATATTCTGAAGCTCATCATAGAACTGATCATGAATCTCCGGAGGTGAGTAGAGTGTTGTTGCGGCATAGACACTCAGGATGTTTACATGGCCAGAAGAAGTGAGCAATCTCATGAGTAGAATCCGCTCGGAGCCTGCAGTCGGTGGTTCTATCATGCCAAGGAGCGTGTTTTTGACGGCGAACCCAACACCGTGTTGCCTTGGTTCGTTCTGCTGTTTTCCTTGCCAGTAGGAAGTGTAGTCACTCTCTCGTAGTGAGCCACTGCCAGCAAGCCGGGTCTCCTGCAGTGCTGCAATATCGACATGGAGTCTCGCCAACTCCCTATCGATAACTGCAGTCTTGCGGATGTCCTCAATCTGCAATAGATCTTCGAAGAGTCCAGAACACATTGTACGTACATTCCAGCTTGCAAAATGAAGGGCTGGAACCTTCTTTCGTTTTGTTTTGCTTTTGTCTGGTGCAGGTTTTGCAGCCCACTTGTCTGGTGATGAACCATAAGCTCCAAGCACCCATTGGAGCAGGTGAGCTGTGGCGGGAAAGCACCTTATTGGGGTGCAATTACCCCTCCCACCGACGATGGCAACCCGTGGCGCCCATTTTTTACGCCAATCTAAAATGAGCGTATAACCCGTGACTGCTGCCATCCATGTTTCTTGTCCACGATTAGGTGGCTGAGGAGTGTCCTCTCCCCATTTTTGGACCTCTTGTTGGCGCAAAGCCCGGGCAGGTTATTCTGGAAATCCTGGGTTGCCCATGCGTCAGGATCCCCCCCTCGGCCTTGCTGGTGATGTCCAAAGGAGTGCGTAGCACGACGTTTGGTACCAGTTTGGCTGCAGGGGCTGCCGGGAATGTGCCGCAGTGCGTCACAAAACCGCCTAAGGGCCCCACTCATGATTTTCTGTCGGGGTTAACTCCCTTCGCCATTGACTCTCCCGAGACACTCACAAGGCAGTGAGAAAACCGCGTGACCCTGGGAGGGGCCCTTACCGGGTACTGACAACCGGGCCAGCTGTGCCTGGGACTCGCGTAAGACAGGGTCGTCATGCCCTGAGGTAGTTGATCACAAACTACCCGCTACCAGTAATAGCACTAATAATACAAATGGTAACATTATTTCATAGGTAAAATTTATAAATTATAACATCAACATTATGTACTGTACTCATGAGCAGATTCTAACGTACTCCTCCTAAAAGACAGCGGTGGGAGATGAGGTTGGAGGAGCTGCTGCTGGGCTCACAATCGGGAGTCTTTCTCAGAGAAGAACTCCAGGACCTCCGTGATCTTAGTGATGCCCTCAGTCCTAATTTCTGTGAAGATTCTTTTGGGTGGAGTCCGAGACTCTCTACTCTGCCCTCGTGAATTCTCACCTGGCTAAAGGTAATGTATAGAACAGTCCTCGACTTACGACCACAATTAGGTCCTGAGGCCCGTTCGTATGTCGGACGGTTCGTAAGTCAGAATACAATACAGTAATGTGTTGTATTTAAATGTCCATATGGTCAGTGTTATGAAGCATGTTACGGTTCAACAAAAAGGGAAGCATCAATCTCATAAAAATAAATATTGCAGCTTTGCATGTAACATTGTAAAAAATACTGTATAGAAAATAAAACATAAAGTAACAAATAGAAAAAAACCTTTCATTTTCACTTACTTTGAATACTGATGTTGGCTTGCTTGTCAAAAAGGGTGCAATGAGTAACCACAATTGCACACGCGTAAAGACAAAACACAAAGATCCCCCATATAGCCTTAACAGATCTTTGGGGCAAGTGCTATTGGCGAGCACCTATGAAGGCCGGAACGGTACATGAGGGGGTGGGTGATCAGCACCTCGCCCGACCTCCTTTGTCTCCCCAGTGGCAATGTTTATACACCACACCAGATACTCATTTGATGATGAGTCGACCAAGGAGGAGGCCCAGGACAGGTTCAGATAATCTTCACTGGTGTTCGCCGTGAGCGGAAATCGAACTCGGGTCGCCGCTTTCAAAGCACAGAGCACTAATCGCTGACTACCGCTCCCACACACTTTCTCACACACACACACGTGTGCATGCGCACACATGAACAATCACTCCCAGTGCGAGGCTGACTCATTACATCTCGTGGGGGATCGCTCCACTGTACAAAATAGTTCCTCGGTTCAATTTGCAGGTGCGAGTCTGCGTTTCAAGTCAGTGTGAAAAAATATATTTCATGTAAGCTGCTTCGTAAGTGCGGGCGTTCATAAATCGCGCGTTTGTAAGTCGAGGAATGCCTGTGTAGTGACGTTAATGATGTCACTAGAGTTAGCACCAGCCACTACCCCAGGAGTGTGGCTGTGCGCCTGCAACCTCTCTCGGGGGGCCGGAGTGAGTGCGGCAGGCGAGCAGGCCCTAGGGGGCGTAGTCCTGAAGGCAGGGTAGCAAGGGAGCCCGGAAGGGACCTCGAGAGCTCGTGAGGGGGAGCCGGAAGCCTGCTGGCAAGATGCCAGGAGGGGGCGTGGCCGGGGGCGGAGCGAGACCACGCTCGCGGGGATAAAAGGAAGCCACGACAGCGATCGGGGCTCGTCTGTGGAATCATCCTGCGTCTTGTCGTCTCCGAGTCTTCGGTCTTCGCTCGGCATCGTGGGTCAAGCAGCGTATTAGGCTCCTCACTGACCCGTTTGTGTAGTTAACTCGCTATTCACATAGTTAACAGTGTAGCTACACCTAACTATAGAACCAGTAAACGTTTAGAGTTACCTCGTGAGGGAAAGTTATTAATAAACGTGTTGCCTCAAACTCCAGAGTGTGTCTCCATGTACACCACTACACCTGTAATATCAAATATAACCTGGACAGGTAGAAAACCTCGGGGCACAACTCTGGTTCTCAAGAGCTGCAACTCGAAATCTTCAACTGCTTAGTGTACAGCTAAAAACGGTATACAAACTGGGTCTGTATTCTTAGTTTTTTCGGTAAAGTCACGTTGAAGGGAAACAACAAAATAATAAAATATATAAAACAATAAAAAATTCTCACGACGTTTCGACCATAACTCAAACGGTCGTCTTCAGGTGTGTTGGTTTGCATAAATTTATTTTTAAACGGCGCATTTATTTATTTATAAAAACGTTAGCGCCACGCGCAACGATTTGGCAGTTTATTTAGGACTAGTCCATCTATATTCTGAAAAGAGGAGGGGGGAGACGAAATTTTTTATAATGTATGCTGTCTGAAAGCCACTGTAAGCGTGAACAATCAATTAAGACCTGAAATGGTTTATCAAATCTTTCCAATGATTGCTAAGATAGAATCCATCTTCTCGGTTGAAATTGTCTCTGTGCTTGTATATGTGGATAGCCTCATGAACGAACCTCTTATGGAAGCCAGATGGCTTACAAAGAACCTCTGTCTTGGAAAAGTCAATGGCATGTGAGCCTACTGAATTAGAACAATGATCTGCCACGGCCGAGGTGTTGGTCCTACCGTGTTTAAGGTCTGCTTTGTGTTCACGAATGCGGTCCGAGACATGGCGTTTGGTTTCTCCAATGTAACTACTACCACAGAGGCAACTTAGTTTGTAGACACCAGGGTATTGTATGTCCGGAATCACATCTTTTACAGACGGAACCAGATCACGGATTTTATGTAATGTGTTGAAACGGACCTGGATCTTGTGTTTATTCAAGATTTTGGAGATCTTTTTTGTGATCCCCAACACACCTGAAGACGACCGTTTGAGTTATGGTCGAAACGTCGTGAGAATTTTTTATTGTTTTATATATATTTTATTATTTTGTTGTTTCCCTTCAACGTGACTTTACCGAAAAAAACTAAGAATATGAATTACTGCAGTCACGAAAGCTTTAAATCAAAATTTAAACTGGGTCTGGTTAAGATAATTATTGAAGAGATTAAATAATTGAGATCTCAGACAGAATGAAGACCGGAAAGCCTCTGCGGCCTTTAAGGACCGAGTCAGTGGCACGGCTGCTTAGACACTTGAGAGTAAACAAACATGACAGCACAACTCCTTGGACACACCGAATCCGTATATTTTGAGACATATACTGCATGAATCAGCAATCCAAAGTGTTCTGCAATAAATAACAACCCGAAGATCATTTCAACAATGAAATGGATCCATTGCATGAGAAGGTGAAAGCTGCCTTTGAAAGCATTCAACCAAGAAGCCTCGTTTCGTCTCTAACCGTACCGCATGGCGGCTCTGGGAGAGGGGAAGCTACACGGATCAGCTTTGCAAACCATGCCACCCCTGCACCGACTCCTTATCCTCCTGTGTCCTTACAAGCAGGCCACAATTATTGCCTATGGCACATGCCGCCACATTTAAACAGACCACCAATTAAGTGTATGGATTTGCATAGATGGGCACTTGCTTAAATACCTCGGGAACTCAGACCGCCTTACTTCACATCTCATCTCCACCATTCCAAAGCCCTGCCGCAGTCTAACTCAAGGGATCCCGCTGGCTACTGTCCTCGGGCGGCGGCGTTAGGTGCCCAGAGCACAGGCCTTCAAATGGGCATTAGCGTCTGACAAGTCGGGGGGGGGGGGGGGGATGTTGCTATAGTCCTCTTGCCAATTAGACATTTGCCAGTAGTTTATCAAATATTATGATCTTGTACCGTGGCGCCAGCACATATGGCCTACAACTACTATGACAACGAGGTGTACTCCATTTTTCAGTTACAAGAGGGAGGCTCATTCTCTTGTGTGCCCACGTTGGAAAGTCGCCTCAGAAGGCCAAACGTGACTTGTCCAATTCACGATTCAAGTAGGAGCTCACTCTCTGCGAGACCATGCAAAACACACGCGAGCTCATGCGCGGCGGGGTCGGGGTCACAGTTGGGGTCGGGGGGTTCCGCGCGGAAAGGCTCAGTCAACCTTCTGCTCCTGCGTGACTCTCAGTACCAGCCGCCTCTCCCGCAACAGATGCGTGTAGAGCTGAATGAAGCCTGCGGATCAACACACACCAGGAGAAGGGACCGGGCAGGGGATGAAGCAGATGACAGTAGAGAGGTGGAAGCAGCTGGAAACATAGCCACCGAATGACAGACTAAGCATAGCGTCAGTCTACCCTCCTCGTATGTTCTGTCACGTTTAGTCAATTCCATGAGATAAAAACACATAATAGAGGCATGAATTCAAATTGGTGCATTTAATATACTCTTGGTTTTTTCGGTAAAGTCACGTAGGTATAAAATAAAATAATTAAATCACGACGTTCGGGCGCAACACAAGCGTCCGTCGTCAGGTAGGACAACCACAGCAAGAAACAATTGCTGAAGTGGGCAAAAAGGGGTGCTTGTGTCCAGAGGCTATATAGGTAGAGAAGGGGCGGGCGGAATTAGCAGAGGAGACTGTCATGTTATCTACATGGTCCCAATCAGAAGTGGACATTTTATCTGTTAATATCAGGTGTTATTGTAAGAGAGTCTTGTCTAAATTATCAAGTTCAAATCGGAGCAATCTTATTTTTTCTGAGATTAGTGATAGGCTGGCTTTAAACAAGATCCATTTAGCACTAAAATTGAAAAAGAGGGATGACATAGTCATCCTCTTGGCCGACAAGGGCAATGCCACTGTCATCATGCATAAAACCACATACAACAAAATCCAGGACCTTCTGAATGGTGGCAGCTACCCCAAAATCAACAAAGATCCTACTGACAGCCTGACTACAAAAAACAACAATATTATGACTTTTCTAATCGAACCAGTCAATCGGCTCTCCCTAAAACCTTCTGTTACTAGACCACCCAGATTATATGGTCTTCCTAAGATCCATAAAGAAGGCACTCCACTTCAGCCCATCGTTTCCACTATCAACTCACCTACCTACAAGCTGGCCCGTTTTCTGTCCGATACCTTGCTTCCATTCACTGGCAAGACTACCTCAGCAGTACATAATTCAGCTCACTTGGTCTCTCTAATCGAGGACATTTCACTGTCCACAGATGATTTTCTCATCAGCTTTGATGTGGTTCCTCTGTTCACCAAGGTTCCAGTGCCTGACACCTTAGCAATAATTGAAGATTTAGTTCAACATGGACTGAACGCTGATGTTCCTACACTGGTTAGGCACTGCCCTACCAACACTTACCTCACCTGGAATGGTACTTTCTACAAACAAAATGAAGATACCCCTATGGGTTCCCCCTTATCACCAGTTAAAGCGAATGTTTTCATGGAGAAATTTGAAACAGATGCCATCCAGATATCCACCCTACGTTCTTCCTTGTGGAAGAGATATGTGGATGACACTTTTGTCATTTGGCCACATGGCCTGCCAGCATTTAACCAATTTCTCAAACACAATAATTCCATACACCATACCATAAAATTCACCATGGAAGTGGAGAAGGATGGTAAGCTACCATTCCTGCATGTTTTGTTTGAGAAGAGACCTGATGGCTCTTTGGGACACTGTCTACAGGAAAGCCACCCACACAGATTCCTATCTGAAACCTGAATCCCACCACCATCCGGCACAGAATAATTACCTCATCAAAACACTACCACATAGGGCCCACTGCATTTCTGACCAACACCACCTAGCCAGTGAACTGGAACATGTACACCAGGCCCTTAAGCTGAATGGATATTCGGACCGCATTATCCGCAAAGCTGTTTCTCCAACCATAGAGAAACAACCCCCTGAGACGCTGATCAAAACCACCACGTTACCATACATAGCAGGCGTTACCAAAAAGATTGCCAAAATCTTAAACAAACACAAGATCCAGATCTGATTCAGTACAGTACACAAAATCCGTGATCTAATCCCATCTGTGAAGAATGTCATTCCTGACATGCAATATCCGGGAGTCCTACAAACTAATTTGGCCCCTGTGGTGATTGTTACATTGGGGAAACGAAGCGGCATGTGTCGGACCGTGTTCGCGAGCACAAGGCAGATCTGAAACACGGCAGAACCAATACCTCCGCCATGGCTGACCATTGCTATAATGCTGTGGGCCCTCATGATATTGTTTTTTCCAAGACCAAGTTGCTCTGCAAACCTTCCGGCTACTATCAAAGGTTTGTTCATGAAGCCATCCAGATATATAAACATAGATATAACTTCAACCGAGAAGATGGATACAAATTGAGCAATCGTTGGAAGGATGTTATTAACCAGGTAAAACCTTAACTGCTTCATAGTTTGCCTTCATATCCGCATCTGCAGTTTTCTTCCGCCTCCTACCCCCAGCCCCGCTTACTTCCTAGCCCCGGCATTTTGTCGTGCTTGTTTTCCTCCTACCCCCAGCCCCGCTTACTTCCCAGCCCTGGCATTTTGCCGCACTTTCAGCACTCCATTCTCCCTACCCCACACCCTCTCTATCTCTCCTCCCTGGCTCCGCCCCCCCCCCCCCCCTCTCTTACCTATATAGCCTCTTGACACAAGCATCCCTTTTGCCCACTTCAGCAATTGTTTCTTGCTGTGGGCGTCCCACCTGATGACGGACGCTTGTGTTGCACCCGAAACGTCGTGATTTTATTTATTTTATTTTATACCTACATGACTTTACTGAAAGAACCAAAGAGAATGAATCCCTGCATTCACGAAAACTTCAAATCGAGATTGAATTTTAATATATACAATTTAATGCATATTAATCGATTTTAACTAATTGTATTCTTATGATGCTTATTTACCCAGGAAAGCCTCAATGAGTCTCAAGTTTTTCATTGTAAGTGGACAATATTGGCACTGCTGCTGCTGTGCGTGATCCCAATTGAAGTAATTTGCAGGTACAGTACTTTTTCAGCATTGGGACACTTTGGCCAATACCAGTGACATTTTGTGTATGGGATTAGCAATGAGAGGAAACCGCAGAACCCAGATGAAACCCATGCAGAACAGAGGAAGAGAAGTACAAACTCCACAGAGAGTGGCCCGATTCGGGAATCAACCCCAGGGGCTTCTTGCTGAGGCACAGGGGTCAATACTGGAGTGCACAGCCATATTTAACATTGGAGGGAATGCGGTCACGTGAGAGGCACTCGTGTGTGGGATGACCTGATTGATTTGACCTTATCGGTATAGCACCCCTTCCATGCCCCCACTGCTATCCGCCAGCCGCAGCTGTGACGGCCAAGCGCACCAGGCACGTAGGCGATCATGATGGCAATGAGGAAGGTGTGGTAGTCGAAGGAGAAGTTGTGCGCGTTGGGCATCGTGATGGAGTAGAGCCCCTTGCGCTGCACGTGGGGCAGCGCCGCGTGGATCGTCAGCAGCTCGCCCAGTACACCCAATGGGTAGAGCACAATGAAGAACGAGTATCTGCACACACGGGGACTCATCAGCACTTGTGCAGCCACGAGATGCCGCGGGCGTCAGGCGCTGCCCCCGGTGTCGTGCATGAATTCGCTTGTTGTTCACCACCATTACCCGTAATGCTCTATCGCAACACACGACGAGTTTCTGTACAATATGGTGAACATTCCACTCATCGGGAGTCAAATATATGGAGTCGTCTTGCTAATCCAGCAGCATTTGTTAACAAGCCTGACTGCTGATGAGACGAAGAATGTTGAATACGGTTCGTTTTTTTTAAGTTGCTGGATACTGATCAATACTGTCAAGCGGCCAGCAATAACCAGCGCGATTATTGTTGTAAGAGTTAAGAGGTTCGTTGAATACAGCATGGTTTTACGAGCTCGAGAAATGCGGTAGTGGGAGGGAATTTCAGTCGAGCAGTGCTCTTTATTTACAAATGCAATGTATAGATTTGCTAACATAATGATGGTCTGATATTATAATTTCCTGGTAAGCGCACATGTAATACAACAACCCAATGGGTTAACAAACTCAAATCAAATAAAGAGGTGACAGACTCCACAACTCGCACAGTCTCCTCATACTGGCTCGCGGTGACCTGTGACCAGCCACGCTGGAGGGGGCTCAGGAGAGTGTGGAGCACACCTCGCCCACTTGACACAGTACGGGATGTACTGCAGAAGCGTGAACGTATAGAAGGAGTAGCGCACGATCTCCGTCACCATCCACGTCACGATGAACAGCAGCGTGCTCTCCTCGTTCTGCACCTACAGTGGCAGCAGTAGCAGATGTCACCAGCAGCAGCAACAGCGCACCAGGGAGCGAGACTTGGCGGCAGGGGGGGGATCCCACAATGGTGAAAACAATCTCCGTACAACAGTCAAGCACAACAGTCAGGCGGCCAGGTTAGACACGTGTGCTAAACTGCACGCGTATGCTATTCACAATAGTTTTTTTCGTTTAGGCCATTCAAGGGTGATGTGATATTCTGACTTCCTGTATTGTCCATCTGGATCTTGTCTTGATGATGCAAGACGAAGTTTCAAGTGAAACGTTTTTCATCGAATTGCTCTCTAACTTTAAACGGTATTAGGCAGAGGAAAAAACATAATCGGCACCCTGTTAAACGCGAGTACACATGACTTTTTCTTTGGCTATATCAGGTGGTGGAGGGTTTTCAAGACACAAATTGGGGGGGGAATGGTAAATGTTTAATGTGTTTTTATTACGATTGATGATCATCATTTGACAACGATGGAGGTGGTGGTGAGGAATTCAGGAGGATGACTTCCTCGGGAGATGCAGGTGTTTGGGGAGCATTCGCCGCATACACTTTATCCGATTGCATTCGCCTTATTTTTAATGGACCTCACGGTTGACTCGTTTGCACCAATATGTATAAACGAATCGACTAAATACATATAAAGTCAAAATGCACAATAGCGAGTATAGAGCGGGATTGCTGCAAATGTAACATTCCGCGCACACCTCCCCGGTGTCGCGAATAGGGAATCGGTAAACATTTAGTAACTCACGGATATGCGAAACTCGCGAATCGAGAATGCGCGCATAGCGAGGGTTTACTATATAATTTAGACCAAAAAAAAAATAATATCGGAACAAATGAGAAATAAAAATGTGTTCATTTATGACGAACATAACGAGTCACCGTAAATCAAATTAACGTGCATCGGGGTACATCTGTATCTCTCCATCTAAATCAGCTCAAGCCTCTCGTATCTCACGTGGTTTCTATCTTGCCACCTCAGAAAGTAAAATAGTTTAGAAAAGTAGTATGAGCAACTGTGATCGCAATATGATGATCGTTAGAAAAAACAGAAACATGATTATTGTGGATCTAATATGTGATATATCGTTATATCGCAGCACCCGAGTGTGGGTGTTGATGAGACACTGAATATCGAAACCAGTCCAGAGTGTGCATGTATTTAACTAATTCTGCTGATAATGAGCACTCCCAAAAGTCTATGAGGCCAAAAAGTTGTAGAAAAAATATTTGTGTATATGGAGAGAAAAACGTGTGGACATTATGTATTTTGCAGGGCCCATATCACACAGAGAGGGTACACATGGCAGCTCACAAGCATTGGCTCACTCTAGCCTAACTCTTCTGATGATGAGACAATGTAAAAATTGGCTCAGCATGTTCATCTATAGAATTAGTTAAGCAAAGATGCACTCCATCAAGGCTATGCGTATGGCCAATGGGTCATGTAAAACAACACTGTGGAGAGACAAATGGTAGAGAGGAGGCGTTCATATTCTTGGGTCTTTCGGTAAAGTCATGTAGATAGGTTCAACGAAAATAACAAAAAAAGAACCAAAAACTACGACGTTTAAATCGCAACACAAGCAATCGTCATCAGGATAAAAAAATAGCGGGAAAGCTGCTGAGGCAGGTTTGTTTTAAATCTATGTGACTTTACCGAAAGACCCAAGAACATGAATTCCTGCAGTCACGAAAGCTGTAAGTTCAAAGGAGGCGTTTATAATTTTGGTACCTCTCTCACACTGTGCACCACGGCCCACAGTAGGAAGATTCGCGAGGACACGTGGAACGCCTTGAGCGTCACACTCGACGGCACGATGCCTGGGGGGGGCAGAGAGAGATAACAACAAGCTGGCAGGCCGATCTGTTCAGGGAGCCTCCGTGTTATTCAGGAACAACTGAACGCACAAACTCGTGCTCTAACGGGTAAGAACACGCTTGGCGGTGGTTAAAGTAGCATAACATTACCTTTTAAAAAAAATTCCCGACCTCTGTTGAAAGTGTTTTATTGTCAACCTCACCCGAAATGATACAGATGTAGTTCTTGGCGTTGGTTAGCCATGCTAGGTTTTTTTCTTGTGATTGGTTCAGAAGTGTGCATCGAGTCCCTCGCAACGGAAGAACACGAATTGTCAGTGAGTGCATTGCTCACCGAAAAAGGAGTACAGGACCTGCCAAGGACAGCAAAATTCCCAATTAGAGACCTGTGCTGGGACGGCGAGTTGCGCGCTGTGGCGGTGCTGTGCAGCGCCCCCTTGTGCATTCGGGTTGTCACCGCGTGCGCTTCCGCACAACGTCCAACGTTACGCTTCAGTTGCTGGGGAAGCTCCCCAGCACGTGGAGCAAAACTCAGAATAATCACGCGAAACCCACACGCTGTGAATTCCGATAGCACGTGGGAGCGCGTTGAGAGATTGGTTTGATTAGGGCTGTTAAAATCAATGTTTGCATAACCGTGTCCAGCATTAAATGTAAACTAATTCACTTTTAACCTGGGTAACAAGGGGAGCTGCCGTAGCCGTGTAATGGCTATGGCAGCGTTAAAACAACGGTAAAAGTTAAAATAAGTGCATTAATGCCAAAAAAAATCCACTGGAATTGGTTACCGGTGCGTGACTTTCAGAACCGGTAGGCAGTTCTCGAAACGGTTATCGGTTTGCGTTCAACATCCCCAGTTCAAACGACGGATGGAGCGCATGGCCCGCTGTTCCTGCTGTTTAGAGTTGCTGCTGTGAGCGTCGCGGACCGGCACCTCGAGGACAGACGCGGTCTGGAAGAGCTTGAGCGGCTTCTCGACGCTGCGGTAGATGCCGCGCACGGTGCCCTGCAGCAGCGCGTGCTTCAGCATCACCCCCGACATCACGATCCATCTACACCACCACCACCACGTGCACACATGCAGCAAGGCTGACGATCAATAGACAGATTCTGAACCACCACCATGCACGGCGATCATGATCCATCTACAGCAGTGCGAGCAGCGAGCTGCTGTGGGCTGTGTGGAATTTTCGGAAATTATAGGAAATAACCTTACTGTTCGTTTAACACGTAGTAGGCTTTCGCCATTAATGTCATCCACAATGCAGGTATTTTTTTGGGTTAGATCGCGTAAATATATACATGTGTCGTTACACCCGCCACCACCCGACACAGCCAACTAGTCAGGGTTGTCACGTAACTAGAACGTGTCAATTCGTCACTAGTACAGCACACCGGTGTGCTGGAGAGCCAAGCCACAACACTTACATCTGATTACGACGTTTCGCCAGAAATTACAACTCGCCTGATGAAGCTAGTTGTAATTACTGGCGAAACGTCGTACTCAGATTATAAATGTGGCTTGGCTCTCCAACACACCTTGTGTGCTGTACTAGTGACGAATTGATACGTTCTGTTTACGTGACAACCCTTACTAGTTGGCTGTGTCCGGTGGTGGCGGGTTTAACGACACAACATTTATATATTCACGTGATCTAACACAAAAATAAAACCTTACTGTTCATCAGCTAGGATAGACGAACTCGCCATGCCGTTCAGTGGCCGATTCAGACCCCCTCTCCCACCTGACCTCCCCATTGGTGACTGAGCAGCCCGGCAGGCAACGGTGCCAGCTCCCCACTCTGGCACGGCACACGGGGGGTGGGGGGGGGATGGCCAGCACCACGCCCCACCGCCTTCGTCTCCCCAGTGGCGATGTTTACACACCAAACCAGGTACTCATTTGAGGCTGGGCCGATCTAGGGGAGGCCCAGTAGCGGTTCAGATAATCGTCACTGGTGTTGGTCGTGAGCGGGAATTGAACTCGAGTTGCCCGGTTCATAGCACAGTGAGTTAACCATCACGGACACACACACTCGCTTTGGATCATCATTTGGAAGGATGGTATTTATTCAGTATTTATACTATTTATTCTCCAGGAATGTGTCTTGTATAGGGTTTATACGTGTTTATTTCAATAATTTTGTTTTAATTTGTGGCATACAGTAGTGCTTATTTCAATTGTGTTGCGTCTATATCGTTGCCGTGTAGCCCGCCCCATTATTTAGGTAAGGCCGAAGTATTTAATATCGCCTTTTTCTCCAAGAACGTGACCCATCGCCATATTCAATGGTCTCCTGGACGTTCCGATTGTTCTACCGGTGGATCTCTCGCAGAACAGCGTGTCACGTGGTGTTCAAAGGAAGTCTTCGGTTGGAGGCACCGCAGGACTTCTGTGATCCAATCGTAGATGTTGTGACCATATGTTCGTGTTGTGAGTCAGCGTTGGTGCCGAGTGTCCGTGGTGTGAGTCAGTGTTGGTGCCGAGTGTCCGTGTTGTGAGTCAGTGTTGGAGCCGCGTGGCCGTAGTGTGAGTCAGCGTTGGTGCCGTGTGTCCGTGGTGTGTCAGCGTTGGTGCCGTGTGTCCGTGGTGTGTCAGCGTTGGTGCCGTGTGTCCGTGTTGTGAGTTAGTGTTGGTGCCGTGTGTCCGTGGTGTGAGTCAGTGTTGGGACTGTGTGTCCGTGTTGTGAGTCAGTGTTGGTGCTGTGTGTCCGTGTTGTGAGTCAGCGTTGGTGCTGTGTGTCCGTGTTGTGAGTCAGTGTTTGGGACTGTGTGTCCGTGTCGTGAGTCAGTGTTGGTGCCGTGTGTCCATAGTGTGAGTCAGCGTTGGTGCCATGTGTCCGTGTTGTGAGTCAGTGTTTGGACTGTGTGTCCATGGTGTGAGTCAGTGTTGGTGCCGTGTGTCCGTGGTGTGAGTCAGCGTTGGTGCTGTGTGTCCGTGTTGTGAGTCAGTGGTGGGACTGTGTGTCCGTGGTGTGAGTCATCGTTGGTGCAGTGTGTCCGTGGTGTGAGTCAGCGTTGGTGCTGTGTGTCCGTGTTGTGAGTCATCGTTGGTGCAGTGTGTCCATAGTGTGAGTCAGCGTTGGTGCCGTGTGCCCGTGTTGTGAGTCAGTGTTGGGACTGTGTCAGTGGTGTGAGTCAATGTTGGGACTGTGTGTCCGTGTTGTGAGTCAGTGTTGGTGCCGTGTGTCCGTGGTGAGTCAGTGTTGGTGCCGTGTGTCCGTGGTGTGAGTCAGTGTTGGTGCTGTGTCCGTGTTGTGAGTCAGTGTTGGTGCCGTGTGTCCGTTGTGAGTCAGTGTTGGTGCCGTGTGTCCGTGGTGTGAGTCAGTGTTGGTGCTGTGTGTCCGTGGTGTGAGTCAGTGTTGGTGCCGTGTGTCCGTGTTGTGAGTCATTGTTGGTGCTGTGTCCGTGGTGTGAGTCAGTGTTGGGACTGTGTGTCCGTGTTGTGACTCAGTGTTGGGACTGTGTGTCCGTGTTGTGAGTCGGTGTTGGGGCCGTGTGTCCGTGGTGTGAGTTAGTGTTGGTGCTGTGTGTCCGTGTTGTGAGTCAGTGTTGGGACTGTGTGTCCGTGTTGTGAGTCAGTGTTGGGACTGTGTGTCCGTGTTGTGAGTCAGTGTTGGGGCCGTGTGTCCGTGTTGTGAGTCAGTGTTGGGACTGTGTCCGTGTTGTGAGTCAGTGTTGGGACTGTGTGTCCGTGTTGTGAGTCAGTGTTGGGGCCGTGTGTCCGTGTTGGGGCCGTGTGTCCGTGTTGAGTCAGTGTTGGGACTGTGTCCGTGGTGTGAGTCAGTGTTGGTGCCGTGTGTCCGTGTTGTGAGTCAGTGTTGGGGCCGTGTGTCCGTGGTGTGAGTCAGTGTTGGTGCTGTGTCCGTGGTGTGAGTCAGTGTTGGGACTGTGTGTCCGTGTTGTGAGTCAGTGTTGGGACTGTGTGTCCGTGGTGTGAGTTAGTGTTGGTGCCGTGTGTCCGTGTTGTGAGTCAGTGTTGGGACTGTGTGTCCGTGTTGTGAGTCAGCGTTGGGACTGTGTGTAAGATTGGAGAGGGACCCTGCACCCAATCCCCCCGATGAGATGACCGTGCCCGCGGGCACCTGTCCGGCTGTCCCTACTTCCGCCCTTCCCCCCAGCTCCTCCTCCTCTCGATGGGAGCAGCTGTCTTGAACTCGGCTCCCGTGTCGCTATTTTTGGCCGCGCAATTCGCCCGTCAGCAGGAGCCCAGGCGGTGCGGGCGGGGGCCCGGGAACCCCCCCCACCCCCCACCACCGCCGCCTTCCGCGCAGGGGACCAGGTCCCCGATCCCACCGAGGTCCCGCGGTTAATTATAACAGGGCCCGCCAGGTTCTCCCGCAAAGTTCCACGCGCCGAAGGGAGGTTGGAGGAGCGGGGTGGTGCACCGCGCGTGCGCTGCAGCGGCTCTGGAGAGGGGAGCGCGCCGCGGGGACCCACCCTGCCGTCATGGCCACGTTGTAGAAGATGAGCCACGCGGTTGCCACGCCGGTGCTCCCCGCCGGAGCCGCGGCCGCCGCCGCCGCCGTCCTCTTGTTGTTGTCGCCATTCGCGAGCGACGCCGACTCAACGGCAGCGCCCGCCTCGCCCGGAACCATAGCCCCGAGTAGCAGCGGCAGCAGCGAGTCCGGGGAGACGAGGGCACAGGGAGTGCGGGGAGAGGGCCAGAGTTAGAGGACGGGGGCAGGGGAGGAAGGAGGGGATGAGCGGGCAATGGGAGGAAAAGGAGGGTAGGGAGGGAGAGAGGTGAGGAGGGGAGGAAAGGAGATACGAAGGGGGAGGGAGGAGACGACGAGATGAGGGAGGAGGTGGTGACTGCCTCCAGCTGCCCCAGAAGTGTCCTTGACGAGGTCGGTTGCCACCTGTCCCGTAATTGGCATCTGTGTTCGGGTGTCGGGAATATATTTGTACCGACATTTGGTGCCGGCATAAACATTTGCGATGCTTTTCCCTCGCGACCATATTCCCTCTCCAACAACGGCCGCCCCACCGCAAGCGACACCACCCTGCGCTTCACGCATTCCACATAGCAGTGCTCCCAATGTGCCGTGACCATCAGTGGACGGGTGTAGAGATCGTGACGCGATCCCCACGGTGCTGTTACTGAGCATTCATTTCGCCACGACACGTGTACTCCCTGCACGCGAGCAGCATTGACACAGCCTACAGACTTCCATACACACGTGCACACTTACGGCGACCCCTCCGCCAATAAGTGATCTCACCACGGTGGTTTTGCCGCCACACTTCGGATACGAGACTTCGAAGCAACGTGAAGTGTTGAAGGCTTTCTTATTGGCTCCTTCGCTTTGTTGATGTAAACTCCTCACGATCAAAGCCTTGTTAAACTCAAGCTGAGACTGTAGGCAGGTCAGCTTGAATGTGTAAAGCCAGCATCGTGTGCTGGCTGTAAAGGGTCCACAATGGTTGTGTATGAGAATCCTCGGCGCTTCGTGTGGAGCAACAGGTCGATAAGGTCGCGCGCATTACAAACAATGCCTTGCTGATCATCTCGTCAATGAGCGTAAACCATCACGCGAATTGCGGTCGTCCTCGCAGCAGCGACTTTTGGCTGGCCATCAAAAAGTAACGGTCACTGCATCGCGCGCTTTCAGATGCGCTTCTCTGACCGTCTGGAACGCTCTTCCGATATTAGGAAGCCACTCGAGCTATGCACTTTGAAATCTAGATTGGATACTTATTTCTTTAGAACTGCTTTGAGTTTAGTTTGTTGTTGTTGTTCTTCCCCACACCTCGCAGCACGGTTGGCTGTACATACGGTGCGAAAGAAGTTCAACGTACACAGCTGCATTATGCAGCATGGGTTGAGCTAGCAATTAAAAGTTGTACGAATTTGATCATCGCTCGCAGCTGGGGTTGGCATCTTCCTCCATCAGCTCAATGCCGAGGGGAAGTTCTGCACTGCAGCTAATACGGCTGTGGAGGTATATCAGGGAGACCTCCACGAGTCTCCGAATTCTCAGTAAGCAGCAATTACAAAGTCATCAGCACAGCGAGCAGGGTTGACCAGTCGACAACAATCCCTTGGCCACCCGCAGCCAATGGACCTCTCAGTCTCTGCACCAACATCTGACTGGTACAGCTACAGAATGTTTCTAGATGCGTGCTCAAGACTTCAAATAGTTTAGGAACCAGCCGACATCACGACCACACCAAGGTAGACAGGAAATAGCCCTTCCATTGACAACTTTACCCAACTCTACCATCATCTTGAAAGTCCTTAACGATTTTGTGCAGACGGTCAGTCCCCAAAACCCAAAGTAATTTTTTGGTAGCATAGGCATTGAACAGGCCTGTACAGAAGTGTAGGTCCTGTTAAAAAAAAAAACACACACACACACATCTGCTAGACCAGACAAAATATTGTCTTTGCAAGACCACATTGGGGGGTTCGCAAGCTTAGCAAAACAATGTCAAATTATCATTGCCAAGACCTTTCCTAGCAGAGGTTCCCTTCTTCATTCATCATGCATAGTTAGCGAAGGACCCTTGCAACCTAATGTGACCTATTGCGACAGCGTTTGCATAAACTGCTTTTGCTGCCATCCACCGGTGTCTCGAGAGATGTTTGATCAACGTATCACGGGGACGACCATATGGGCGGCGCGATTTTTTAGAGCTGTGGTTCTCAGTGTGGTCCGCGGGCTGCTGATACAAATGCAGGTTGATCCGGAAATAATGACAATGTTTCATTTAGTTTCAGACACTATATTTTACTTATATTTCATTTAAAATAAAGTTAGATAAACGACCCCGATTAAACCACCCAAACCCTAATATCTAAGTGTCCCCCAACACCCCTCTTAAAAGAAACCTTATGGCTGCTTTAAAAAAAAGACATGTTGCAGTAATATCAATTATTTTGTATCGCTGCTATTTAAAGAGAAGTTAATGCGTTTTGTCATCATGGGTAGGGGCTGGGTGGTCCACGGGCCAAAACAATTTTGAGAAACACCGCTTTGGAGGGTCGCAGTCCACTTGGAACGCCAGCCAATCCACCACCTGAAGTGTGCAATTTGCTGGAGTTTGCAGATCGAAGCTCTCTGGTCCAAGTAGCTGTGCTGTTGTGTAAGGCAGCAGTATCAGCCTGCACAAACCAGCACTCTTCACAGCACCCCTCCTCCCACGCACACAATCAAAACGATGAACTTAATAGGACTTTTATTTTTTCACATAACTGAAAGGGTCTACACTTTTACAGTCTAAACCATAGTAGTGAAGAATAACCATAGCCTAAACCATAGTGATAAGAGTAATCGACCTTTGAAATTCCACTTAAGTGATCTTTTTTCTTTCATAAGCAATAGGCACAATAACCAACAACCAGCTGCGGGGCAGCAGTGGCCGGGCCGGATTTTAACGCGGGAAGGTAGCCTCGGCACGGGCAGCTGAAGGTGCTGCCCCTCCGACCCCACCCCCAGAGGGCCCACAAGGCCTGCATTGCACGAGCCTCCACTGCCACGACACTGCATCCTGCGTCTCCCTGCCCATTCACGTTAGTGAAGCACATTCTTTAAAAAAAGGTACACCTTTAAATGTGAACGATCAAATCAACGACCAACGTAAAATGTCACATTGCAAATAACATAGAGCGCTTTTCAGAAAAGCCCGACCCTGTATGTAGCCCCCCCCCCCAACCCCCCCCCACCTTTATATAATTGGGGCAGTTTTGAATGGTGCTGCAATGCGTTTAATGAAAGCAACCATTTCCCCATTCAGTTTCTGATTCCCAGAGTCGGCACAAAACCCAGCTGAGCGCAGGTGCACGAGTCATGCCCATACTGGCCAATGAGGCAGTTTCCATTGATGTATAAATTAAGCCAAATGCCACGATTCCTTAGGGTCCCAAACACTGTAAGGTATATCTGTAAGAATATTGATCTGGACATGTACAGATGAATTAAACTCGCACTAATCTACTCGCCTAACCACCTAGGTCTGTACACACTGCAATGTGCACTCCAGAGGTTCCCGGAGTTGCGATGGGAAATAATTCTGGGGATCGATTTGGACACCCGAAAGGACACTAAATCGCTTACCGTCTATCACTCCTCTGAGCCTACCCGCTCGGGCTCCACTCGTGTCAGAAATGGGAACGGTCTCAGCAGGAGCGCCATCCGTAAGCCCTCCAAGCAATGCTACTCCGTGGATTATCGCGAGCGTTCCGATAGCGGCGAGACGAAAGGCGCTGTCGAGTGTGGGAAGGCCACCGCACAAAGGGGGGAGGAGCCACTCATGCGAGCTGCGCTGCAACGAGCACCACGCTTGCCCCCTGAAACACAACCTGGGATAAAAATTTGCGTGGACGCAAGCCGTTAAACACGAACATTGCTTTAGTTTCCACAAGTGCTGGAGTAACGCGTCCCACGGCATTCGTTTTGAGCCTAGTATCATCCAATACAGGTGACAAATTGCATAAATACACACATGTTTGCTTGAACAATATTTTTTCAACTTAAAATTAACGATCCCAATGAACAAGACTGCAGTATTCTCCGTGATCCCTTAAATAAGATGTAACATCCAATGTTGTAGAGCAAACGTATGTTTTATTATTGTGTGGAAACCAGCGGGAATTGACACGTATTGTTGAATAACACAAACACACGCAGACGGCACGTCTAGAGTAAAGGGAGTCTCCGAGGGGCCACTCTGCCATCAGCCCCGGCTCACGCACTCGCGCGATGAGGGACGCTCACTTCTCCGGCCTAGCGGACAGCGGCGCTCAGCAGCCTGCACCTCTAAAGCGATCCTCCCTCCGTGCACGCCGTCACAATTCGCGCCGTCCGGTGCCACCGCCACCAAGATTCACCCGAATCCACAATCTTGCCATCGCACCTCCACTAACCCCGTTAGTGTAATTAATTATATGTGTTCACGTTTATTTTAGTGTTGTACTCTCATGCCGACTTATTATTAATACGTTCTATAAAAGCAGATGGTTCTAAGTCCTACGCTGCCCACACCTAAAGGTGCTTCTTCCCAACACAGCGGGGCCTGGGCGGCGGCGGCCTTGCAGGCTCGATGCTCGTAGCCGCCTGGGTTGAGCCGGGCTGTGGCCGGCTGGGACAGGGCTATCCATGTAGGCAGCAATAGCTGCCTCGCAAGCAGGGAAGGGGTCAGATCAAGAGTATTGCAGTTTGCTGGGTGAAGGTCGTGGCTAATTGTTTTGGTTAATCGCAGGTAGAAAGGATACGGTTAGGGGGCATGGGTGGGATTACATTTAGCTGGGTAAGAGCTACGGCTAGAGTATGCATTGCGGCTAGCTGGCTAGCTTCGCAGTTCGGGATGGGATGACGGCTATGGATATAGCTTAACTAGCCCGTTGAGTTGGCAGGCCCGTGTTGCTCGTAAAGGATGGAGTGTCTTCATTCTCATATTTGTGTCTCCCCACGAAAAGCTGTGCACTCTTGGTCAACAATACTTACATTATTTTAATTCTCCTTTAAATTGGTTTAACATTTTATATACTATGCATAGTCTAAAAATCTTATGGCATATCTGTTGCCCTTGCCTCTGGGGGGAGATTGAAAAGTGAAGATGCCGAGGGAGTTCATGCGAAGCCTTATAAAGACTAACACCGTGTCGCCGCAGCAGCCATGTGCAGCGCACCTATGAGTTTGCACGTCGTGGACAAAATGTCATCGTTAAATGATTAGTTTTTTATATTTACAATGAGCCCAATGTTATTCAAATAAAACTGTGGCCATCCGGAGAAAATCAATGATAAAAAAGGAAAGGAGAGAAGAGCGGTGTTCAGGTCGTGCTGCTGGCGCGGGAGACACCGGTGGAGGTGCCATTGCTGCGCTCCTAGCTGATGCTGAGCTGCGCGAAGCCGATGAGTTTCACGTCGTCCGGGATCTCGGAGCCCTCACAGCCCGACGCCTACAACACATGACAGAAACAAATATTCCCCGTATAGCCTTAACAGACTGTTTGGGCAAGTGCTGTTAGCGAGCACCTATGAAGGCCGGCACGGCATGCGAGGGGGTGGGTGGCTTACACCATGCCCGACTGCCTGTGTCTCCCCAGTGGCGATGTTTTTACACACTGCACCAGGTACTCATTTGAGGCTGAGTCGACCTAGGAGAGGCCCAGGACCGGTTCAGATAATCGTTACTGGTGTTAGCCGTGAGCGGGAATCGCTCTCGGCACGCTGGGTTCGTAGCGCAGCACATTAACCGCGAAACTACCGCTCCCCACAACTACACACACACACAAGCACGCGCGCCACACAGGTTACAAACACGTGTTTTAAACAATAATTTTACACATACACATCACCCATGCGCAGGTCACACATCACCATAAAATTCTAGTTTGTTGAACGATTACAGTGATATTTAAACCAGCCAACGCCGCCAATAGCGCCGTCGCTCCCAACACTCACCAGCTTGAACGTCAGCGACTTGTTCGTCTGTGGGTCGTCAACAATCTTCTGCAGGTTGGCAGCAACTAAACACGGCGCACGCACAGACGCATGCAGCGATGGTGTGCACCACAGACACTGGCCGGTATGAAACTTGTTTGGCAGCGCGGGCCGTGACGGCGGAGCAGGTGCAAGCCAGTGGGGGTTGGTGACGAGGAAGCGGTTCTTAATGTTTTGGGTGCACCATTCCTCAGTCCACCTCGATACCACCGACGTGTGACATGGGATGACTACACATTCAATGTAGTCATCACCATGGATCTGCACGGGCGTCAGCAATGTACCAAGAGCTGTGCGCGATACTGTAAGTGCCACGAATGATGACTCCCCATTAAACACGTAGTCAACTCTTGAGACTACAGGCTAGTCTCGTTTAACGAGCATTCTTTCTTCGAGACTTCACTATAAAGAGTAATTTAAATTGACTCATTTGTTTGCAAAATTAACTAAATGTTTGTTTATCGAGTGGAGACCGATTGATAAGTGTGTCCGTGGTGGCAGAGGGCGCACGGTGGCACATAGCTGTTCTTTTAGCAACTATCCTGTGGTGTACGGCGGCATTTCGTCGCGTGCGGGAGGGTGCCTCGTGGTGGCACTGTAATGGGTGGCGACGCAAATTAATTGCAGCTACGGAGGATCGGAAGCTGCGCTTCACCTGTATCCCTGCATCGTGGCTATGAACCCAGTCACCCTGGTTCGATTCCCAGCCACGGCTAACATCAGTGGCGAGTGATATTTAAACCAGCGGTCCTGCATGGTCCCCGCTGCTTCCTCCAACCACTAACATCTACCCTTCAAACAACAAATTCCAGGCACCTGCAAGCAGTGGTTTTCCATGTGTGGTGTTATATTTGATGTTTTATTACTTTATTTAACAATTTGAATTTGTATTTCTCATGTTAAAAAAAGTTCTTCAAGGAGCGGAGAATTTTGGGGCCCGAAACGTATCTCAGCTGTTAACAACGGGAGTGAGTCAATAGGAAAACGACGATCATTTAATGAGTCTACATTTAACCGATAAATGTTCGCGGAAACGTATCTCACTCATTAAGCCGAGACGAGCCTGCATGCCGATCTCTTGACTATGTAGCAGTCGGGGTAAGGAAGGGTAATTCATTTGTTACTGGTCGCAGTGAAAATCACTGTACATTCACGAGTGGTTATAAAGAATCATGCACATTCAGCAGTACTCTGTATTCCAATAATCCGCAAATTTCTGTAATCCGTGGATGACTCGTAGCTGTCCCAGAAATCCGCGGGACTGTTGATCCCGAAATCCGCGAGCGGGCCCGTCGTATCAGCGGTGTCCTAGGATTATATTACCTACTATAATCACCCAGGAATGTCTGTCCTTAATGCTCGTGACGTCACACCACATCGACCAGCTCCCCTCATTAATAATCATGAACAGGTGACGTCCTCCAAATGGACACCCCCCCATTATTATTACCTACTATAATGAGCCAAGAATGTCTGTGTGCAACGCTCGTGACGTCACTCCGTCGACCAGCCCCCCTCATTAATAATCATGAACAGGTTTCGTCCTCCACATGGACCCTCCCCCCTCATTAATAATCATGAGCAGGTGACATCACTCCACATCGAACAGCCCCCCTCATTAATAATCATTATAAGGTGACGTCCTCCAAATGGACACCCTCTCCCCCCCCATTCATAATAATCAGCGGCTGACGTAACTCCACATGGGGGGCCGAGGCGCCTCCTCCCCCCTCCTCGGCGTCAACTCACAACCCTCACTCCAAAGGCAGAACCCTCACGTCACGTGATCTCCATCACGCTTTTGAGACATAGAAGTAGAAAGGACGTCATGATGAACAAGGGCTTATAACCTTCAAATGAAATAAGTCTGTGTCACCGCGGCCTTACTAATTGCACACGCATTGATGCAATGAATATATCACGTCGCGGTCTGCTCTTCGCTTGAAAGTTTCAGATTTACTGCAATACACCCGTCCTTGGAGGGGCAAAAGGCGAGTTTATTATAATTTCATATTTCTTATATATTTATTTAAAACACTGGGCACCAAAGAGACCACTGGCTTCTTGACTATGCAAGCTCAGCTATTTATACATTTACACCTCGCATTGCAAAGACACCCCCGTGGATGCAGCGACATGACAAGGGAGGAGCCAATGTTTCTCAGTGGGATGGTTTCATCTCCTGGGTAAATGAAGGCCGGAACTGTCTGCTTTGACTGAACTAATGAGACATTTTTGTCTCGCGATTAATAATTTTTCACATTTCCGTTTGCCTGACTAAAGAAACGTTGCAGTCTGCGATAACAAACAAACTCAGGCCAATTACTCACCGACAATAACGTCCCGGCCGTCCACCAGCCCCGCAGACACGAGCTCCTGAGACACCCCATCAGCGGTGTCTGCGACACACCATCACCACACAATTACACACCATACACATTCAATCGCACCATTACCACACAATCACAAATCATGTCATACACATGCAATCACACACCAAGACAAAGATCCCCAGTGTAGCCTTAACAGACTGTTGGGGCAAGTGCTGTTTGAGAGCACCTATGAAGGTCGGCACGGCACACACCACACATGCAATCGCACACGACCACACCACTACATCCACAGAACATTACCAAACGCAATCAAACACCATTCAATAACATTACACAATATTCAACACTAAGTGACAAAAAACCCCACACAATTCCACCATACACCATGAAGCAGCATCTACCGTATTTACCCTCATATAACCTGCGGGGTATACCACTTTTTACAAACAAAACAAGACCCTGCGGGATATATATTTTACACATGATATGTCATGACTCGTTTAATGTTTTCATGGTAGGACTATCCACTATGCAACACTTACCTTTGACTAAAGCACCGCTGAATAAACCACTCATACTAAAATTGCACATGTTATCACGTTTTAAATTATTCGAATTGTTTGTACAATGAAACGACAATGTTTGAAGTGGGCGCACTTTGTTTACCAGTGACGGGAGAACTAGGAGGAGGGAGAGGTGGGGGGTTGGGGGGTGGGGCAGAGCAAGGTCTCTGGTAGTGACGGGAGAGCAAGGGGGAGAGAGAGGTGGGGGGCGAGGCAATGGAGTTACCTATCTGCGCAGTGCGCAATCTACGGGTGCTAAAGCTGTACTTACCGTACTTATCTACCAGTTATGTGTTACTTATTCAATGGATATTTACTTTTGTTACTTATTTACTGTTTTAAGTTCACTCGTTTCCGGTTAGTTTGTTTTCTGTGCACGTTATGATTTTAATGTTAACAATTGATAGTGGAATGCATAACAAATGTAAACTTCGTATTAATGATGGAATTAAGCTGCGGTAACGACGTTAAAGATGCGGGGTATATGGAGGTGCGGGATATCTGAAATTTGTTTAACACAAAACGCTATTTTTGCGGGGCATATGTGTCTGCGGGTTATATGCGTATGCGGGCTATATGCGGGAAAATACGGTAATCAGTACAGTCTGCGAGTAAAGGCGTGCTCCCCAACTCTGTCCCTCAAGACATGGACGGCGCTGTGAGATGCCAAAGCTTTAAACACCAGATGAGTATCATCACGATTATTATTACATCACGGCCCTGCTTATGAATCACACTGTCGGGTCCATGACTGATGCCAGGCCGTGGCAATCTGCTACACAATGGACGGTGCTTGCCGTGTAAATGCTAACACATCACAAGTTATAAATGATGCCGCTCAATCGAAGCACCCATCCCATCCAAGGAGCACAGGTACACACACACACGCATACATACTTACACAAAGACAAGATCCCCTGAACTGCCTTAACAGACCGTTGGGACAAGTACTCATAGTGAACGCCTATTTAAGGCGGGTGGCCAACACCATGCCCTTTCGTCTCCCAAATGCTGTTGTTTACACAGCATTTGAGGCCGAGTTAACCTAGGGGAAAACTCAGGATCGGTTTAAATATTCGCCACTGTTTTTTTTTTTTTTATCACGAGGGGGATTTAAGCTCAGGTCACAGGGTTTTAAATGCAGCCACAAACTATAGATACATCCGTTAAGATGTTCAAACACGAAATATATAGCTTTTGCAAGGTATAAAGTCTGCATTAACCACACATACTTTTGGAAAAACATGTAAATAAACTCTGATAATATATGCATTGTCTTTAAAACTAATTGGCCTACAACAGACAGCCTTCTTTATGGCTTTGTCTCACCAGTGTTGGACTAGAGAGTGCCAAAAGGCAAACAGTACAGAGACAATGCAAGTATCAGAACACTTAAAGCTTGGGTCGAGCTATAAGGTTATCCATTTGCCGTTTGGACATTTTAACACCTGTTTTATTGCCAGAAAGGGTAAAACCTATGATTTTTTTAATCATATTTGATCCTGGCAAAAAGGTCCCATAGCTATAACACATCCACGAGCGTGTGCACTTCGCAGAACCGCTCCACAGGTGTGCCGAGTCAGTAGCCGCAGTGCATGGGGGTGAGCGACACGAGCTACAACAGTGGGCGACAGCAGCGTTGCGCCCCACTTGTGCGCACGCATGCTCGCGCGTCAGTGTGCATTTCAACGTCAAGAGCTCCTCTTGCACAAATGCTACTGCTGTGACCACAATCCCCACCCTCCCTCCCATCGCTGCCTTGCGTCTGCCAAACCCCATGATCGTTGCACAGATTCTGCTGTAACGCTAGACGCAGAGCGGAGGACTCACCTTTACCACGAGTGAATTCAAAGCGGATGTCGTTCAACTCTCTCTTGGAATTTCTGCGGCAACATAACAGCACACACCGATTGCTGTTACCCATCGATGCGACACGGCAAGCGCCGTTTGTCATGTGACAAGCACTCAGTGTTCAGTCTGCATGTGTGCGACTCGACCGGGCCTTACCGGAGCCTCAGCACCAAGGAGACAGGCTTGCTCTCGCTCCCAGGCAAAGGCTCCGTGCTGTGCACCGACAACTGCACAACATACACCACCACTCGCATCACCGCACCACACATGCCCTGCCCTGGACACAACTTCATCTGTACATGCTACCTTTACCACAATAATCAAAAAAATCCAGCATTCAAACCATCTTAATTTTCATATCTGTCCTATCCTCAATTCCTAATAACTTTCTTGGCACATATCACATTGGCAATCACAGCATCAACATATCTTCACAATCTATTGTTCATGACGGTAACATTTATTTCGTGTTATATATTTTGTAGTCCGATGTCGAACTAGAACCCATATCCACCAGAAAAGAACGTTGCTCATAAACATCTGGCGGTTCACCAGTAGTGGTTCCAGCAAACAAAGCCTGATTAAACAATTAATTGTACTGAACGAATGCTGCTGAAATTAAGCACTCCCCAGAAGGCCGATGTGTAAAAGATACTTTTAAAAAAATTCCCCGGAGAGGCAGATATGGAGATGAGGCATTTTGCTTACCATATTATTTATTTACCCATACAATGGTGATTTAAACTTAGCACCAAAGCAATTATAATGCTTGCTTTACAAAAATAATTCACATCAACACCAACTCCAGTGTTCACGACCAGGAACAGTATTTGCAGTGTTCACAGCAGTGACGGGGAATGGCGGGGCTCACACTGGTAACCCAGTGCTCTGGAGGCGAGAGTTTGAGGGCCAAACAAGATCAGAGACCGAAGCCTACTGGGGGTTGCGAGTCGGCCAGGCAACGGCAGTATAGCAACTGGGTTCCGCGACCCACCCATGCGGATATCCAAGTGATTTCTCCATGCATTAAGATTTGCTCCCAAGTGCAAAATAGTCTTTGAAAAAGAACACGCGTGTATAAAATTCACACGATAGTTTTGTGTGAACTAGGACCCAAATCTTACAGCTAGGATCCTTGCCTATAAACATCTGGCAGTCCACCAGCATTGGCTCAAGCCTATGCTGATCACAGTTAAAAATCGGTCCCAAGGTTGATTGTAATGAACCAATGCCACCGAAATAATGCACACCCAGACGGCTGTGTGACTGATGGGATCCGGTGTGAAAAACATGCTTTTATATTGTGCGAAGAGCCATATTTTGGAAAGGAGTCGTACGGTCTGCTTAGTTTAAAAATAATTGGCCAAATATCCCCAGCGTGGGATTGCCCATGAAAAATGTCTTGAGCCTCAGCGATGCCTTGCCAAGCGAACACAAGACTTTACGATCGCTGCATTCGAAGCATACCGTTGACGTTCCCCCTGTGGAGTCTGCCGCGTTCGTGGTGGCAGGAGGGGCGGCCGTGCCGGGAGGGAGAGCTGTGGGGACGGTGAGGAGGGCGGCTGGGCCGTCGCTGCCCGGCTGGGACGCCGGGGCGTGCTCCGCGACAGTGATGTTGTTCATCGTTCCCTGCAACAGACAGCCTGCGTTGGTTGCATCGCATCTCAAATCGCACTACGGTCATGGCTTCTGTTCCCGTTAACTTCGCTCACAGCTTCCTCTATTCATGTTGAGGATTCTGGTTTACCAAACCATTTAATCTCATCCATACTGTGTTCAACTGTCACACTGAAGGTCACAACACTTCTCTTACAACATGCGTGTGCACATAGGCACACATACTAACGTAGACACCAGCGCATTTGCGCACACACACAAGAACATGCATACATATAGGCAGAGGAATGCATGCAACACACACACGTACCCATGTGTGTACCAGACAAGAGCCTCTGTGTATATATAAACAAACGTGTGCACATATGACACGTGCAAGTCGAGACGCTGGCGCTGGCCGTGCAGCCACAGCGAACACAAGCAGCCCTTGTGAATGGCCCAAAGGGCTTCATGCACAAGGCAATTTGAGATTGCGTCCATCAGTGTTGGCCCACCACAAATTGTCCATGTGGAGCAAGGCTGTCTGGCTTTCGCAGGCTATACATGGAAGGACAGTAATATTTCTCACGGGGTTTCTATGGGCCACACTAAACATTTAAAACGGAGCCACATACCTCCAAACTCAACTCCGGTTCCTTTACTCGCGGGGACTGTAAATGTAAATAAAAAGAGCAGTCAGATATGTCATCAACATCAAGCACACATTTGACACACTTTTTGATTTTAAATGTTTTTGTTTCTCCTTACTGCAGGGTGGGTGGCGTGCCCCAGTGGTAATGCATTCGCCGCTCATTGCAGAAGTTCGAGGGTCGAATCCAGTGGTCACCCTGGTTATTACGGCAGGTGTAAGAACCATAATATAACACTCCGTCTTTCTTCACAGTGGATGTTAAAGATGCCCCGATGTCATTCGCAAAATAGTCCAAATTTGTCAAATGCGAAAATGACACCGATACTCAATTTGGATTATAAACAGCAATCAGCACCCATACTGGCAGGCTCATGCCCCAGGTGACTCTTGCAAAGTAAAAATTATCCTGACCTCTTGAGTTCTCACGTCGTTAGAAAAAATGTAATTACATTTTAACAAGTAACAATGTTATTTACAAATCTAAAAACATTTGACCAAAAATTTATTTTTTTACATTTTTAAATAGCCTCAACTATCCTAATAAATGGGTCCATGTGTCAAGGCTGTGTTGAACACAACAAATATTGTACTTAGTTTCCTCCACATTACCATGTGTACATGGTTGAGAACACGATTCAGGCCAAATTTCACAGTCGAAAACAAGACTGTATTTGTGGTGAAATTATACGAGACTATAAAACGCACGTCGCACGCATCAAGCCACATGTGTATGAACCAGCGTTTTTGGAATCTCATGCATTATACTTTGAGTTCATATGACTGACAGCCACTAGAGGTGCTAAAATTCACCACAATTACAAAAAGGAATTTATTCTTGAATGGCACTGCGAGACTAGTCACATTTTGCCACTGACACTTGGCGGATTAAAGCAGCGTGCGCCCCATCTGGCTCATAGGAGAGCGTCTGCACAGCAAAGTGGACCATGCAGCCTTGAGCAAGGTTAACAAAGACCAAATATAAATCATTATTGATTCATGGGTTATGGCACACAATCAATCTGACCACATCTGTGACATAAGACCCTCCATTACCCGACAGCCAAATTCAATTGTCACATGTACAAAGTGTTTAACATGTAAAAATATCGAATAACCTGAACTCGTAGCTGCCAAAAATTATTTTTTTTTTATTTTGATCTTATGCTCAAATGCGTAAACTTGCACCTTAAATCTAAAACCTAAATGAATCCTTTACTTCCGATTGGCTGGGAAGGAACCAAAAGCCTCCCTTTCATGTTCAAACCTTGGCCGAAAAACCGATCTCGTGACACGAATCCCCGTGGATGTGACGTCGCTCCACGCCACGGCGGCATTTGCGCTGCACCATCCGTGTCAGCCCTTGTGTGGCAGTGAGATCAACTTCCAGGCACATGCACTACCACGACCCTCCCTGCAGAGGGGGTCACACACTGCTGCCACCAACCACGATCACGTTTGGATCACAAGTAGTGTGGTAACAGGCCCAATGAACAGCGTGGTAAAACGACATACACGTCAGGTTAAAGGAGACGGAAAGTGGTGGGGTAGAGGGTTCAGGCTGCCGATAGGCTGCAGCAGTCATGGTGCGAGACCATTTATTTAAGCAGAATGTATTTTTGTGCCCCAACCGTTTTAATACATAAACTACAAGTGCGATGACAGAAGAGCTAAATACAAGAGACAGAGATATTTAAATGGGATGAGATAGACAATAGACAAGATGCAGTCAAACAAGAGAAATGTGGACAAAAGATGTAGTTATCTGAGAGAAGATACAGTTGAGAGATGTAATTGTATGAGTGATAAGTAGACAAAGGCTAGATGTAGTGAAATAAGATAAGAAAAATGCAGATAAGATAGGAATGAGAGATGAATTCTCACTTATGCTCATTGGGATTTAAATGTCTCACTAATGTTTGGTTCACCACTGTTGTTCTATCAATGCAGGGCCCCTCATGCTGCATGGGGCCCCTACGCTCCGTCGCTATTCATGGGGCGATGGCAGGGCCCGGAAGTCGCATGTTCGTTGCTTGCCGAGAAGGCTCACGGTTTAAATCTGGCAGGCCGCCCTGGTCATTACTATGGTGTGTGTGTGAACAAACACACGCCGCCTGCTTCGAAGTGGCCATTAAAGATCCCGTGACATCATCTGAGTAGGCCAACGTGTGCCAGCAACGCTATCCAAATTAGAGAAAATAGTTGATAATTGCACAGCTGATCTTTATACACAGCAGCATCACCCACAACTGCAAAACTACTGCAGAATCTCTTTAAACACAGCGCTATAAGCAAGGTGTGAATACCAAATTAACACAATTACTATTGCGTACAATCCATTTGACTTGAAGCTTTCGTGACTGCAGGAATCCATACACTTTGGTTCTTTCAGTAAAGTCACATAAGTAGAAAAAATAATAATAGATCACGACGTTTCGATCGCCATCCTACCTGCCATTGTCAGCAGTTATTTCCGACTCTCTGAGTTACATTACCAAGTTAAATGTCTTTACTTTAACGGGCTAAATGTCTCACTAACAAAGCCAACGTTGCCCCCTTTCCCTCGATGTGGCGGTAGCTCTCGTTGTTCTTACACGCTTTTTATTTAACTCACTGTCTGTTTTGATTTAAAGCTTTCGTGACTGCAGTAATTCATATTCTTAGTTCTTTCGGTAAAGTCACGTTGAAGGGAAACAATAAAATAATAAAATATATATAAAACAATAAAAAAATTCTCACGACGTTTCGACCATAACACAAACGGTCGTCATCAGGTGTGTCGGTTTGCAAACGTGAGAATTTTTTTTATTGTTTTATATATATTTTATTATTGTATTGTTTCCCTTCAACGTGACTTTACCAAAAGAACTAAGAATATGAATCACTGTCTGTTGTTGTTGCCGTATCCTCAAATCTTGTAACTCAATTTTAACCCACTTCCCAATGTGGTATCGGCTGCAAACTTGGTATACCTATTTCATACTGATGACAATACTATATTGTATCATAAAAAATAAAATACAAATTTAACGATCTTTTTACACGCTTTCTATTAACTCTGTTGTTGTCGTATCCTCAAATCTTGTATCTCTATTTTATGCCACTTCCCAATGTGGTATCGACTGCAAACTGCGTATACTTATGTCATACTGATGACAATACTATTCTATAAAAAATATATATTTTTTATTGTTATATTCTTTTTTTATATGTTATGTTTCGGCTTGGGTCTAATTGTCCACGCTCAACTCACGTTGGCTGTAAATCACCACGGCCCCTTACGTTATGGCAAGGTTTGCGGCCACTTCCTGGAGTCGTGGAGTTCTGCCATTGCTCGTACAGTACATTTCATCGAAGCATTTTTAAATATTACTTATTTTATCAGACTATAACTGTCTGTGATGTTGTTGTGTGTCTCTCGGTTTGTGTTTCTCTCTGTGTCTCCCTGTATGTGTATCTTTGTGTGTATGTGTGTGTCTCTGTCTGTGGGTCTCCTGTTGAGTGCTCTATCCCCCTAGTGGCGGATTTACCGTCACTACACATTGACATGCTAATCTCTCAATATACAATGGCCACCTGAGCTCTTCATCGTCGTGGAGGTGCATCAACCACAACCCACCCCTTCCCCCCCCATCTCGATTCCCATCTTTGGATGTCCCACCCGCTTAGGCACAATCTCTAGCGCCCACCTTCTTGCCCGATGAGGCAACCGCCCCCCTCCCGGCTCTATACATAAGAACTTGTTTCAGCAGCCCGTTTCTCTCTCCCACCTGAAGACGATTGCTTGTGCGGCGATCGAAACGTCGTGATATATTATTATTATTTTTATCTACCTACGTGACTTCACCGAAACAACCAAAGAGTTGATCCTTTAACTGCGCAGCAAGGCGCTTCCTCCTCCTCTTAGCTCAGAGAAGGACCAAGGCTGTGCTGGCCTGCGGTGGCACCCACCCGCTCCTGGATGGTGGCCGCCTGCCCCTCTTCGCTCTCCTCGTCCAGCTCGTTGTCACTCCACTCCCAGCCGCCGTCCTCCGTCTTGTGAAGGTGTCCGCTGGAGCCCGGGACGCGGCGCACCTGACAGAGTGGGAAGGAGCACCGGCTACACCACACGTCTGGCAGCAGCAAGAAGCAGGTTGGTCATACTCGTGCTGCCTCACAGCAACAAGCGCCTTGATCATATTTCCGGTTGAGGTGTCTTTCCGTGTGGGGATTATGTCTTCACCCCCCGTACTGCAGAGTGTGAGAGTGCTCGGAGGGCTGGGAGCGGTGGCGCAGTAGTTATCCCACAGCGCGATGAACCAAGCAACCCAAGCCCCTTTCCTGCTCATGGTCAACACCGGTAACAATTATTCGAACCAGCCCTGGACTTCGCCTAGGTTGACTCAGCCTCAAATGAGTACCTCGTGTTGTGTGTAAACATTGCCACTAGGGAGACAAAGGCGGCTGGGTGCGATGCTGGCCACCCATGCCCTCATGTGCTATGCCAGCCTTCACAGGTGCTCGGTAACAGCAGTTCTTCCAACAGTCTTTTAAGGCTTCCATAAGAGGTTTTTTTTGGGTTAGATCGCGTAAATATATAAATGTGTCATTCAAACCTGCCACCACCCAACACAGCCAACTAGTAAGGGTTGTCAGGTAAACTGAACATGCCAATTCGTCACTAGCACAGCACACCGGTGTATTGGAGAGCCAAGCCACAACATTTACAATCAGAGTACGTTTTCGCCAGTATTACAACTAGCTTCACCTTTTAAGGCTATACGGAGGATCTTTCCCAGTGTGTACATGCCCATTCTGCATTTATTTCCTCCGGGCTCTCTGGTTTCCTCCCACAGCTAAACCCACACACCCAATATTGTAACCAGTATTGGCCAAATCATCCCAAAGCTGCAAAATTACCTGCAAAATATTCAATTGGGATCACAAACACAGTGGCAACATTGCCCGCCTACTGCCAGACTTGGCAGGGGCCTCATGAAAAAGCGTCTTGAGACTCAGAGAGGCTTTCTTGGGTTTGTGGTTTTACTCTGAAGACTGTGCACGTGTTGGTCTACAGTTAACACATGGGTGCATATGCTGGCCACCCACGCCCTGACCAAATAACCCAGAACTAACCCCATGTCATCAGACCTCAGAAGCTATGCAGGAAAACTATTTACCCAGAAAAGCCTTGCAGAGTTGGTAACTCTTTTTGTCTGAAGGAACATTCATTGGGATGTATGGCCAACATCAATGACAGTGGTTTTTTTATCATCTTTGGGAGAGAATTGGAGAACCCAAAGAAAACGCATGCATAACAGGGAGAGAACATACAAATTCCAAAAAGAAAGGTGCCCAGGTCAGGAATGGGTTGAATCTGGATAGTATTTGGGTTAACTGTTGTTCCAGGTGATACAGGCTGTGGGGTTAGTTGGTGGGCAGCAGAGTGCAGTGGAGCAAAATACTTGTTTTTATACTTTACTTCAATGCCACTCTTCAAACCCACATCGACGAGCCTAGTAAAGTACAGAGACAAAGATCCCTCCCCCAATAGCCTTGACAGACTGATGGGGCAAGAGCAATTCGCGAGTGCCTGTGAGGGCCGGAAAAGCACGAGGGGGTGGCGAATCTCACACCCGGCAGCCTTCGACTCCCCAGTGGTGTTAACACATCGCACCAGGTACTCCTCTGAGGTCGAGTTGATCTAGGGGAGGCCCAGGACTTTTTCAGATATACGTCACTGTTATCGGTCAAGAGCTGGAACCGAACTGGAGTTGCCGGGTGAGTCAGCACAGCACGCCAACTACGGCACAACTGCCCCCCACAAAGTGCAAACCACCCCCACGACCTACAAGGTGTGGTGGGGGGGGGGGGGGGAACCTCATAATAATTATTACAATTTAAAATGCGCATTCCATCCTAGGATCTCAGAGCGCATCCAGAAATGGTCTGACAAAGGGTTGCACTTCTACAAATAACGTTCAATGCCATTCCTTTGTTTTTGTTTCTATAGCCGGCTCAGAGCACGGAGCTCGGTTTCACGCGGGGCAGCTTCTCCGTTTCACGAAAGTGAGCTTGGGCACTGTGCAGTGCGCAGCGCCATTCATTCAAACCACCTCCACACTTCCATACTTGGGAGTTCATTCGGTGAACTCCAAATGCCGTGCCGACACACGTAACGTGGCCTCCCCCAGCACTGATACGCAGTGTGTATTGAACCAGCCTGATATGGGGCCCCCAGCCACACTGGCATGAAAGACCAGTGGTGCGGTTTTGGAAGGGGGAAATGTAACAGCACTCAGCAACTTAATGGGAGGTGGCCAAACATCCCAAGATAGGTCCACAGAGATTGAGCAACGAATGCTAGCGGCAGCTCTGGCTGCCTTCCCAAGCGCTTGTCTGTGGTTTCCCTCGCCTCTGTGCGAAAATTGCACACGTCACAAATTCTACGGCGTCTTGAGATGCAATTTGCATGAACGACGCCGCTATGTTAAAATGTAATTATTATAATTCCAGCAGAAGCCAAGGGCACGAATGGAGACCGTGATTAACATACCTTCTTGGACCTCTGGGTGATTGTCGGAGCTTTGTGCAACAGCTTCTCCGCCAGGTATTCCTTGTTCTGAGAAGCACAACATCACAATCGCAGTGAAACCAACATCAATCCCTTTCCCCTGAGCTCAGTGCGATAGCAATTAAATATCCATTACATAAGCAGGTGAGGTCTCAGTTGAGCACTCTGGTGAGGACACAGGTAAGACTCAGTTGAGGATAAAGGCAAGCACACAGGTGAGTACACGGGTACATTTAGTGGTACATAATTATAACATGATTATTCTCATTATCATTATTATTCAGTAACAGCTCAAATAAAAGGTGGGAATGGAACTACGCAATAGCCTACGCTTGGACACGAGAATAAATATAGGGTTTGAAATGCCCAAGCAAAATTCTGTTCCGCGTCTCCACATTAAGATAAAATGTATATGTTTTAGTCTGTCACCCTTTCGTCCGTCTATGACAATATTATCCAGCAGCATTTGTTTAAGTAAGCAAACTCTGGAGCGGTTTCGGCTTTCTGGATCTCATCAGCAGTCAGGCTTCTTATACAAATGCTGCAAGTTTTTCTAGGTATTATTGGCGAGAGGATACCATCTAAATAATGGGGCCCTGTTCAATGCAAAACTCAACACAGTGACACATTTATTGCACCGCTGTGCAGCGTCCTGGGTAAAAGGGTAAATATGAGCAGTACTCCCTTCTGCGTCTCCACAAATACATAAATCAACTGGCCCATCCAGCTTCCCAGGCAAATAGTCAAGCCTCGACATCCACGAGGGTTAGGTTCTTGAAAATCTGCATGAAAGTAGAATTTGCAAATGTAGCTGCTATGTTTATATGCGGGGAAAGGGGGGGGGGATTAGGTTCCCGTGTCCGATTGAACAAATGTGAGAAAATGAAAATGTTTCGTAGCAATAATCCTACACATAAATAACAAATGTTTAAACACAATAATCCAAATATATTTAATACATAACACATCAATAAATTACACTCAATCTGGAAGTATTATTTGCCTAGGATGATGGGGACGTGATGATGATTCTACTTTGGCAGTCATCGTTACACTTGCCGCCACACTTTCCCCCGATTGCCCTCTTGTCTCTCTACAAATCGCACTGTTGACTCGTCTAACCACCACACAATGGCACCAACAGCAGACAACGGAACATCACCACGAGCAAGTCTATCCAACAACTCCATCTTTGACCTAAACTCTTTGCCTTTTACCTCTCGTTCTCACTTCTTCCACTCACTTAACGATTAGACCCCAGGATGGAAATAAAAAAAAAACACCAAAAAATAGGGCAAATGTAGCACGAAAGGGCAACGGCACTTGAAGCGTAAAAACTTCGGCCATGTGGATGGCGGCACACGGGCCACATTCCGCTACTGTAATGCAAAAGTACAGGTATCCCTTCACCATGATGCGGATGCTGCTAAATTGTCAATAGCCAAAGAGAAAAAGCACAAAAGTAAAACTGGTATAGAAATGTGAAATAGCGAATCTAATTTCACGAAAGAAAAATCCACAAAGAGGTGTTACTGTGTTTAAGGCCAATGGATTGATGTTTTGTATATTTATATGTTGCGAGTTCAATTCCTGGTTGGGGGTTGACTCAGACCATCATTCTTCCAGGGTTGATATGATCACCACTCTGTGGGGAGGTGAAAAGTGGTTGTCCTATGGATATACTCACTCTCATTTTAAGAATGCAGAAAGTTTCACAACTGGCTCAGCACGAATAGCGTGGAATCGCTCCGTTAAACCGAACAATATTACAACATGGCCCCTTATCGAACACCACTCATTTACAAGCTCGGTCACACGAACCACAGCAGTTGAAGCTCACCTTTGCTTTCTGGAAGAACTTGCTCTTGAGTAGCTCAGCTGCCGTGGGTCTGCAGAAAGCACATGGGAGGAAGCACACGCATACACACAAACACGTCACAGTGCGGCCTTCCCCAGTGCAGTGAACGCAGCCAGAACCACGTCGCCCCGAGGCCGAGTTTCATTTGGCGGCCGAGAGCCTGCCTCGGTCAGAAGCCCTGTGCACGCGATACTTTTGACTCAAGCAGGGGGAGAATGGAGTTTCGCAAGACAAGCACCGCACCACAACAATAATCACATTGCTTATGTCAATCAAAGACAAAGATCCCCCGTAGAGCCTTAACAGACTGTTGAGGCAAGTGATGTTAGCGAGCACCTATGAAAGCCAGCACACAGCACACGAGGTGGTGGGTGGCTAGCACCACGCCTGACCGCCTTTGTCTTCCCAGTGGCGATGTTTACACCGCACCACCAAGTACTCATTTCTGGCCGAGACGACCTCAGGGAGGCCCAGGACTGGTTCAGATAATCGTCACTGGTATTGGCCGTGAGCAGGATTTGAACTCGGGTCACCAAGTTCATAGCACAGTGCGCTAACCGATACACTACCACTCCCCACATTACGTCAAACAACCACAATCAAACACGCACCCTCACAATCAGACAACTGGTGGCTCGGCAATAGAGCGAGTGGCTCGCAATTGGAAGATCACGAGTTCAACTCCTGGTTGGGAGATGACTCAGCCCATCATCCCTCTGGGGTCGATAAAATAACGACCACTTTGTGATTGCAGGCAATTACCTTCTCAGCAGTGTGGATGATACGCTGCAGTCTGTTCTTGTCCTTGGCAGTGGCAGCAGTGTACCAGACGGTTATGGAGGAGGTGAGGATGGATTCAATGATCGCTGTATAGAATTGCACCATCATTGTCTTTGGCAGGTTGAATTTCTTCAGCTGCCGTAGAAAGTACATCCTCTGTTGAGCTTTCTTGGTGAGGGAGCTGATGTTCAATTCCCACTTGAGGTCCCGGGAGAGAATAGTGCCCAGGAAGCGGAAGGACTCTACAATTTTTACTGGGGAGTCTAACAGGGTGATGGGGGTGAGTGGTGCTGTATTCTTCCAATGCCTCAATGCTCATTTGAGCAAGCTTTGATATTAGCGTGTGAACTAGGACCTCCACCACTCACCTTTTAGCAGGGTCCTTCTGTAAGCACTGGGAAATCAGCTTTCTGAAGGACTTCCCATACTTTTTAACCATCTCCTTGTCCTCAACGCCAGTTTCCAGGGTGGGCGGATCATTCTGCAGAGTCAGCATCAGGACCTGGACAAATATTAAAGATTGTTGGTCCAGGATGCACACCATCAAAATGCCCATGCGTAAACGCAGACTCTACGGCCACGCAATGCAATCATGTTGATTGACGATCGGGCACCGATTCACTCAGTCACTTGCTCAATGGCAGTCAGTCACCTCCTTATCACTCTGCTATGGCTACTTCCATGGTTACTGTTTGCGTGAACTTCACTCATCGATTCCTCAAACCCAAGTTGACGGCTTGGGTCAACCAGACAATGATTTTTTCATCTCACATATCACACCGTTTCACCAACACAGTGCAGGTCACAACAAAAATACACCCAACCACTCACTCACCCGATCACTCAACAATGAACCGCTCACTCACTTGCTCACCCACTAACTTGCCCACTCACCACACTGCAGGTCACCTCACTTTTCTTTCCGCTTCTTCTCTTACACTACTCCACTCTGGAATTATCTTCCATCGTCGTCTATTTCCCCCACCCCAACTTCTAACAATATGAGCCTTGCTCGATTCAATACACGTGTTACACTTATCCATTACAACTTTGACAGTGCTGTTTGTTGCTGGCTGCATTATGGTTTGCCTTTGTGCCCAAACGCAGCAATTGTGTAAAAACGAAACCCCACAATGGGCAACATCCGATGTCCTCAAGCAGTAGACAATGTGTTAACTCAGAACCTAGTCGGGTAGTTTCCCAAGCAGAGCTCCAAGTGCACAGCTCTTCGAGAGCCACATTTTGTTCTGGTGTCCTGCTAGTGAAAGTTACGATCTGAGGCTGGGCATCAGGGTGGTTTGATCCTTTGATTTGAAAGCTCATGAAAACTAGGGACAAGGCTTGGGCATGTGCTCAGAAAATTAATTTCGTCAATGCCTGGCTAGAATACAGGATTTTAAGAAATATATGCGTCAAAAAAATATGGCATGCAAAAAATGCCTACTTTTCCTCCACTCTCCTGGAATCACATTGAAATGCCATGATTTTATGGAAAACAATCAAATGTATCGAAAAGGCATCCAAAACAGACAATCTGCCCGCTGAGCTTCACCGAAATGGGGAATATTTTTCAGATCCCAAAAAAAGAGTTGGCAATTTTCACCTTCATTTTTCTGAAGCTGGTAATCTTATTGATAATGTATTGGGAGTCACCCCTGCTCATGCCAATTCCTACACCCCTGTCCAAACATTAAACGAATTAAGTTTCCAGCCAATCCATGAAAGTAATGGTTCTGAAACAACTGTCCTACCTCAAAGGGTCCTCCTTTACCGGAGCAGATAGTATTCCCGTCTTTGCTCTACTAACTGTTGGTCACCTAAGACACAAACCTATAGCCCATATTTTCAACCTGTCCAGCAAAGAAGCATTATTTCCTCTAGAATGGAAACATTCCTATGTCCGTCCACTTCACAAAGGGGGCCCTAAAGATGATCCAAACAACTACCGACCTACCTAAATTTTGTCCCCGTTGATGAAATTTTTTGAAAAATTATTGACCTACCAAATTAGCAGTTTCCTGTCCACCAACAATCTACTACATCTAAAACAATCTGGGTTCCCGAAAAAAATACAGCACCACATCTGCTGCATTAGACTCTCTGAATCACATTTACAGGAGCCTTGATAATAAGCAGTACTGTGCCTGTCTTTTTCTAGAGCTGTCCAAAGATTTTGATACAGTAGACCACAACACCCTGCTTAGTAAACTAAGTTGCCTCGGTTTTTCCGAAAACGCAGTAAAATGGTTACAAAATTACCTCTTTTCTCGCACCCAAACTGTATCCACAAATGGTTGGAGGTCAAACAGTGTTAAGATAACAAAAGGGGTTCCCCACAGGGTTCCATCCTCGGCCCCCTTTTGTGCTCTCTTTATGTCAATGACTTGGGCACTGACCTGGATCATTCCAGGGTAAATCTTTTTGCAGATGACACGATACTGATTACTGCTGGCCGCTCTCCGGATGACGTGATTGCTAAGCTACAGGGAGATTTTAACAAACTACAACATCAGCTAGTTGCTCTTAAACTAGTCCTGAATACCTCCAAAACCAAGGTGCTATGCTTCTCACCACGACTAAAGCAGGAAGTTATTTTTCCCCAATTACATTCCTTAAATAATTATCAAATAGAGCAAGTCAAGATCTATAAGTATCTTGGGGTATTCCTGGATTCAAAACTGAATTTTGAAGATCACAATGATTATATTGGTAAAAAGACAAAAATAAAAATTGGTGTTCTGTATCGACACAAGCATTGCTTCCCCCCAATGTTCCGTTTGGAATTGATAAAAGCGACCATACTGCCTCTACTTGACTACTGTGACATCGTGTATAAATAAGCCCCAAGTACTGTACTGAAGAATGATTCCATCTATCACTCGGCCTTAAGATTTACATTGAAGTGCCCATATAGGACTCACCACTTTGATCTCTACATTGGGTCAAACTTAACATCTCTTAATGTTCGACGGCTTGTGCATCAGATCTTATTCACGATGTACTTACAAAAAAATCCGCAGACTACCTGCTGGATCTCCTCTCTGTTTCAAAGAACAAATTTGACCTCAGGTCTTCGCTCATTTACCAGCTTCACATTCCCTATTGCCGTACAAAAACTGGAGGAAGGGCCTTTGCTATTGATGCTCCCAGGGTCTGGAATGCTATTGCCAATAAACTGCAACTTGAATCGCTACCAATGAGATCTTCTCTCAAAACTGCTCTAGAGGAGTTGTACACCCCTAGCTGCCACTGCTATTCATTGGCGTAAAATAAAATAAAATGTTTCGCTCCGGATGACGCTGCAAAGTAATATCTGTATTTTGATTTAGCGTGCTGATCTTATAGGTGCATTGAAAAATTTGATACTCCAACTGATGCTTCTGTTGTTGTGGAGTAACTCATGCAGCCAGCTATGGCTCTAGGATTTGGTGTTACATGTTATTTATGTAGTTTCTTGTAAAAATTCGGTCACAGTCCCTGTGATCACTGTTACGTTGCAATTATGGCTTTATTTTTTGGTGATTTCGAAAAAAACATTTGGTTTGGACATGTTTGTTTTGTTGTAGGTACGGAGTTAGACTGATGGCCTTAATCTAAGTTTTCTTGTGGTGGTTGTTGTTGTTGTTTGACTTGCATCCCACTGGGATTTTTTGCACACAGCGTTGGTGTACGGTGCTTTTTTCAGGAATATTTTGCTGTTTTTTTTCATGGATTTTCTGTTTGCACAGTCACATAGTCACTTTAAGATGTTTTTCTTGTTCGTGTTTTTGTTTGTTGTGGTTGCACCTGATTCAAGAGCCGAATGGCTCACAGGGCTATACCAAAATAAATCAACTGAAAAAAAAATGGAAAGTGGTAAAAAAAAAACTCATGCCTCGCATTAAACAAGGCCCTGGGTTTGATTGCCGACTTGGACGCATTTACACGTGTGTGTGTTCTCCCCCTGTTCTGTATACATTTCCTCCACGTCCTCCTGTTTGCTCCCATAACAAAAAAAATAAAATCCACACAATGTAACTGATATTGGCCAAACATACCAATGCTGAAGATTTACCTGCAAATTACTCAATTTAGATCCCACACAATAACATTGTCCCCAATTGTGAAAAACTGAAGGCATGTCCTGAAATAAGTTCTTGAGATTCAGCGAGGCATTCAGAGGGGTAAACAAGCGATTGTAATAGGTGCCTGTTTACCTTCATAGGTGGGTACTTGTGGTATGGGGCAGCCCCGGATGCCAGCTCCATGGCGGTGATGCCAAAACTCCAGATGTCTGCCTTGAAATCATAGCCTCGCACCTATTCACAGGGCAGCAACACCACCCATCAACACAATGCGTCCCGTGCAAGCCATGGCATAACGCGATCGGAATCAAGTGTCGAACCGCAGATGGCATCACACAAAGCTACACTCAAGCTACAGGACCTCTTCCTCATCTTAAAACGTTGTTACAGGTCAATAAATTCTTCCCACTTGAGAATGACGATTATCAACTAGTAATACAGAAAGTGTAATGCAGTGATGGCGAATACACAAAGCACCGGGTACCATTCTAGTGAATCTGAATGCACTCCGCGATCTGCCAGAAACACGACCGAAAATTACACACATATTTAACCCTGCAATATATTAGGGAGCATTAGCGCCATCTATTGGAAGAAGTTATTGTTTGTAATGCATTCATTCTTAAGTTAGGGATTGTTCAATCTTGACTTAAAGCTTTCGTGACTGCAAGAATTCATATTCCTTGGATCTACCTATGTGACTTTACCGAAAGACCCAAAGAATTAATCTTTGTGGAAAACAGGCAACGAGAATTGTTGCATGCTTTTCCTGTTCGTTCCAAATTGTCCTAAGATCCACAACAAAAATAGTCATCCACCCGTGGCTCGGGATGCACACGTTAGCCACTGCTGCTGGAATGTATCTAGTTAGGTTTATCTGTCACACAACATTGTCCCTATAAAAAGAGTTTACTCCTGACTAAAAACCTCAATATCTAAGTTCCCACAGCACGGCCGTGCATTGTGCCAAGGATAAAAAAAACGTTTTCACTTCATTGTAAATGCTTCAAACGTCATGAATTCCAACGCTTGGCAAACGTCCTTGGTTACTCTACCATCCAAATCACAATACCGTCGACCCTCTGCAATAACTTCACGTGCAATTGTATGTGACAAATATACTCGTCTATTTTACATACGAGTACAGGTCACCCAATATCTGTTCAAGGTTTCTGTAATTTAATTTGTAACGAGCTACGATCAGTCCAGGGATAATCTGCCCGAGGTAACTTGCACTACAGGGCGTTTACGATTTCGCACCAATGCGAGCTGTACAGTGTTTTGGGTTTGTCATGTGGTGGGTGACATGGTTATTTGTTTTTCTAAGTTTTCCATTCGATTCGTTGCTGTGCTTTATTTTGTATTTGTCATTTTGGTGACCCAGGGGTCACACTTGCAAATTATACTGTATCCTGGTCTCATAAACTTTTACCCGTTGCACAAAATAAACCTTAGCCATAGCAGGGAAGTTGTAGCACATGTGTAAAATAGTTCATCAGTTACTTTTGACAATTCAATAACACAAACATTCATTTGTAATGGTGCCACGCCATCTTTTAAAAATATTTATTTCAGTAGGAGCCCGATGCAGAGCACGAAGCACAATGCAGGGGAGGGGGGGGGTACAGAACTACCACGGACATAAGTCTCAAACTCTATGCCCCAGAACTTCGAGAAGCGAGAAGATTGGGCTCACTGCCCCACAGAGCGTGGAATTTGTATTTGTGTGGTGAGGGGAAGGTAGGGGAAGAAGAATTTAAGGCAGTAGAGGGCGCAGGGGGAAGGTGGGAGGAGGGGGGAAATGGAAAAAGGGAGGAGCACCTAGGATGGAATAACTTCCACGCGCCGAGTGAACATATCAACCTATATAATCCCGCAAGGCAGTAATTAACTTCCGTCCATTCCAAGGGAAGGAGGAGGGGGAGGGGAGCATTCCTTGCACCTATCCCCTCCCCCTGACCTCCAAGCATAGGCACCTCGCATGAGGCTCTGCAAGAATGGGTATCATCTGACCTCGAACTCTCGTCCCCTGCCTTTAAGTTTGTGGCTAAAGTGTTTATGTTCCCGCGAGGGGGAGGAGGGTACCCAAGCCTCCGTTTCCATGAACAAGGGTTCATGGTCCCCTCCATTATGCCAGGATGGACTTCCTAGTCGTGATTATTATTATTTCAGGCCCCACAGAGTTGTTTCAATTGAGGGACTGAGTCTGGTACAATTGAGGGACTGAGTTCATAATAGTCGAGAATTTCTTAGTATATGACCAGAAGGCGTGGAGGTACGTCCGAATCGTGCCCGAGGGGCATCTAGGCCAATCCGGTGAAACATCCATAGATTTAGCTCTCCTCTCATTGGTTAAGTACGTGCCATGCATGAATTTATATTGGTGCCACACCATCTTAAAAATGTCTTGCAATGCTGCACTTCATATGCAGCAATATTAAGAGATGCAATCATCATGAAAGCTGGAGCGGTGACGAAGCGGTTAGCGCCCTGCGTTACGAATCCTGTGGTCCGTGTTGGATTTCCCAGCCATGGTTAACATCAGTGGCGGGTGAAAGCTATCCTCAGCTACCTCACTTCACCGACCAGCACTGCACAGCGTGATAAAGTATAGATTAAACAAACCCAGTGGTTGGTAGAACCAGGGCACAACACAACTATGGCAGCATGCGACACAGTCCGGATTATTCTTCGGTCTCAGGAATGTCCCTAGTAGGGGGGGTGTTAACCAATGAATAGTAAGCAGGGAAGCGTTTTCATCAAGTCAGGAACCAGGGGAATCTCAGCGATTGGCACGCGCGAACAATATGAAAGGCACGGCTCCGTAAGTCACCGCATGGCACAATTGCCCGTGTTTCTCGGTTATAAAAGTGCAACCGTGCAATATCTCACTTGCGCTCTCTACTGCTGGCAGGAGGGCCTGCACGAGACGGTATTTGGTTTACTCTCCCACTTGGAAGACCTGCCGTTCAACTCTGGTGTACCCAGGAATGGAGGCGGAGCCAGTGGATTGAAGAAGCTTGCCCCCACTGTTTTAACTGGCGCACCTGGAGATGAAATCAAATCGGCAACCTCTTGATTGCAAAGCCCAACGCTGCTCACCGTCGCACCACCACGATGGCAGCTGCTGCGGCAAACTCGTACTTTTTGACCGTTTTTTGCCAAGTGGTTACTGGTTATGCGGCAATAACGATTGTAATGGCCCTAGTTTCCATACAACTGCGCACGGGGAGGAGGGGGAACGAGGGGGGGCGGCAAGAATCACGACCGTACCTGCTCCATGACCTCGGGCGCCATCCAGCAGGGCGTGCCCACAAATGTCTTGCGCACCTTGTTCCTCGTCACGTCTCCACCGGTCGCCAGAAACGCACTCACCCCAAAGTCTGGCCAACGTCAAGGGTGAGCGATAATATTAACTTCGCACATTTTGTATTTATGCTAGTCTTAAAGCAGAGGACCATGACAACGGCATGCAAAGGCCTGCTCGTTTTCAATGACATCCAGGGATCTTTATCGTCCACAGTGAAGCAGACGACGTGTATTTTTGTTACGGTTAATACACCTACAATAATAAACAAGGGCGGCCTGCCAGATTCGAACTGTGAAACTCTGCAACAAATGGCGAAAGTACCATCGCGGGGACCACATGACCGCCCCGAAGGGTTAAGAGCGCGTGTCCGGTCTCTACCGTCATGTGAGAGAGCACGGACGTCACAGTCAGCGAGCTCGACGACAGAACAACACGGGGCCAATTCAACTGCATCACTGGCAAGGCACCGCGGGTGCTGCCAACGCTGAGAAGCACACGCGATTAGCCAAGTTCTCTGCCCTTGCGTCAGTACAGGCCACCTCAGACAACAAATCTTCAATGAAAAACACATGTGGGCTTTGATTTATGGTGCACATGCAGCTCGTCTCGAGTTACTCATGTTTATGCCACGAAAGTGCCAGTTACTCACATGAAGCCATTTACCTGCAATTTGAATAGTGCCGTCTTCACCCAAAAGGATGTTTCCTGCCTTCACATCCCTGCTCACAAAACACACAGGCTTAAGACTGTGTAGATCACATAAAGAAGTCTTTCAATCACTTTAGAGAAGAGCGTGCAGGTGGCAGGTATCACACAATACCTGTGGATCTGCCCATTGCGATGGAGGTAGTCCAAGCCTTCGAGAACCTCCTTCAAGATCGAGGCGATGACGGGTTCCTCCAACACTCCTGATTTATGTTCGCCCTTCTGAACAATGTGCTTTATCATGTCCAGCATGGAACCTGAAACAATAATTGAAACATTCATGCTCACATACAGTCCTCTTCAATACACTGCTGGATGAGGGGCTCGCTATGCCGTGCAGTTCGTAGGGGTTATTTACCAATACTTCGGCATGTTGCTCAGCGTGGGTTGGTATAGTGTCATGAGAACAGGACGTCCCAACCATAACAACACACACATACACAGCACAGCCAACTAAATAACGTACACAGGACAAGAATGACTACCTCAGGTTCACTTCCCGCACCACACAATCAACACACCTCTTATATGACACACCCAGGATACACAACCACATCACACTAATTACAACAGCTGCCATTCGCCACTAAATGGCAGTGACGTCACTACAGCGCCAGTGTCAGGCTAGGTGCACATAATATCACACAGAACACAACCCCCATCACGCACAGACACACCACATACCACACACAAACCATCACCCACGACACCAATTTCATCACACACACATACACAGCAACCCTCATGTCCTGACAGCACACAGTAGCTACCTTATCACAGTACAGACTAGGAATAGGTGATAGGCATCCTCTTCACCCTTGATATGACGACTGTACAGAATGGGCTCAAGTATTTTTATTATTAAGCTTGCTTACCAGGAAAGCCTCACGAGTCTCAAGACTTATTCAGGAGGGCCTCGTCAGGCTTTTCCAGAAGGAGGTTATGCTGCTGTGTATGTGATCCCAATTGAGTAATTTTCAAGAAATGTTTCAGCATTCATATGTTTGGGCATTACCAATTATTGTTTTTTAGTTCTGGGAGGAAACTGGAGAACCCAGGAGAAAACCCATGTATAACAGGGGGGAACAAACTCTAAAGACAAAGATCCCCAATATAGTCTTTAAAAAGTGCTGTGGCAAGTACTGTTAGTGAGCACCAATGGAAGCCAGCACGGCACACGAGGGGGTGGGTGGCCAGCACCACTCCACGCACGAACTCGCACTCTCACGCTCCAGAAAAGGCGGAAAGCCTATAAACGCCACGCAGAAAGACGCGGAGTCGGGAATCGAACGCAAGCTGCACTGCGACCATCCTGTCGTAGAAAGTCCGAGGGAATACCAAGTGGACCTCAAGGTGCAGCGGTGGCCATACCTCCACTCAGCAGCCGCATCACCAGCCAGAGCTCCTCTTTCACCACGAACGACGTGTAGTAGCTCACCACGTTGGGGTGGTTGCACTGGCTCATCGCCTGGATCTCTTTCTGAAATGGGAGGTTCTGGGTTAGAATGGAAATCCGGACGCCGAGCAGCGACCATGAGAGCGCCGGACAGCGGGGGTGAAGTGAGTGGCGAGGTAAGCGGCGGGGTGAGCAGACTCACCAGGAGCTCGTCCATGCTGGTCTGGCACTTCTCCAGGTTGATGCGTTTGATTGCGACTCTCTCTTTCCGCGGGATACACATGGCAGCCTGCACGACGGCAGTGGCACCGCTGCCTGAAACGAGAAAAAACTTGGATAAATAATGCGTACGCACGATTACAAGTCAGGGAGAGTTCCCAGTCATTGGAGCATTGGTGCTCATCCTCTTTTTTAGCCCCGATGCAGGAGTGAAAATGCCACATTACTATGGCAGGAGAAATGTATCCACAAAGCACACATTTATAGACACTCTCCAATCCCGGTTTAGTCTTCAGTATTTAATGGGCAGTATGGAGCTGACAGGGATAAATGTGTTGACATATTTGCAAAGTATTTTGTGCAAGTCTTTGATAAATGGTGCTCAATATGGTTAGTCCTGAATAGACTAGTACGGTAAAGTTTAGTTTGTGTTCTATCATGTGTGCGTTTTCGTGCTCCAAGTTAAAGATGGATAGCGCTACCGCATAAACGCATTCAATCTTAGTTGCAAAGCATTAACAAGGGACAGTGATCAATGAGAACGCATCCTAAACACACATACACCAGGCATGTGCAACATTGAAAAGCATCAATCTGCACAACACAAGGCTGACTGACAATAACTTACAAGGGTTCTAGTTTCAGGTAAATTTTGTTTAACCAAGTGAGAACTGAAGGGACCAGGATACGCTTCATTTGCAAGTGACATGGGTCACCAAAATGATGCGAAATGGAAAATATTTCACAAACATAAATCCATGTTAAATAATAAATACCCTGTTGCATAAATCAGCTCGGGCAGATTTATTTTACTGATCATAATAGAATTACAAATCTAGTTACGAAACATTAATAAGATCGTGTGTGACTACCGCACCAATGTGTAAACACAGATGAGGTGCAATTCCTTTACAGATGGTGCAAAAATCCGGGCAGGCGGCTCAGCAGCAAAGAGAGTTGGGCATAATCAGAAGGTTGCAAGTTCACATCCTGGTTGGGGGGGGGGGGTTAATTCGGCCCATCAACTCCCGAGGGTCGATAAAATAGGTAAAAAAAAGACCAACGGTGGTTGTATGTATAGTGAATGTCTTTCGCACCCCAAGTAGCCAACCGTGCTAATCGGTGGACTATAGGTTCACTCACTCCCACCATAGGAACGTGAAAATTTCCATCACCGGCTCGGGGCTATGAAACGGCAGATGAGCACAGAGCCTCAAAGAAACCACTGGCCTTGTCACGTAGGCAGGGAAACTCTCGCGAGCTGGATTTGATTCCCGTGATGGATCTGGTGCGGATGGTCGTGGAAGGACAGGGGTCATGGAGGAGCTGGAATTTTCATCACGGAGGAAGGGGGACCGGGCCGATTCCTCGCGGTGCAAGAGGGGGGGTTGTTAGATCTGCATGGCGGAAGGCAGAGTTGAGGGTCGTGGGAATTTGATCACCGAGGGGAGAGGGAGGGAGGGGGAGAGGGAGGGAGGGGGGTGTTGCACAATCGTTTTGACGGTGCCCTACGAGGGCCCCCGCGAGGAGAGCGGCGTGTGACCCTGAGCGCCCCCGCGGTTTCACGCCGGTAGGAACCGGGCTGGCTCGGAGCCGGCAGCTGGCCAGCTGATCCCGCGGAGCGCCCGCCCTGACTTGGGCCCCTTCTCACGGGCGGGGGGCGGTGACGCCACTCGCTTGCTTTAACGCGTTAGTACAAACACAGGGCAGCAGACGTAACGCTCGCGACTTCAGATTTTAAACAGCCTCGCGCTAACCCATTCGTATACTCAGATTTGCGCGCGTTAAAAAAAGGAAGTTAACGTGGCTCTCCCCGGCCCCGTAGGCTTTTAGTGGCGAGCAGGGTAGGCGAGTCTCTCACCCCGAGACTGTGGTTCCCCGTCAGTCCGGCCTCGCGTCGCAGTGGCCGCGGGAACGAGGCACTAGGCCGGGCCCAGGCGAGGGCTCCTGGCAAGGGTGAGAGCTCAACTTCTCTCTCTCTCTCTCTTCACGTCTCCCCTCTGCTCTCTCCCCTTTGACATCTCCCCCTCTACCGGCTCTCTCCATCCATCCTCTAGTGCCCCCTCTACCGTATCTCCTACCGCACTTTCCTCTCTCCTATTTCCCCGCTCCTCGCTTTCAAACCTCCGCTTATCTCTCTGCCTCACCTCTCTCATCCCTTCCCCCTCTCGCATCAGTTTCACCTCTCTGCACCACCACCCCTCTCCCGCTGTCTTACCTCTTAACTCTCCTCGCTCTCTCTCTCTCTCTCCCCGCTCTCAACACCTCACGCCCACTCATCCACCCGTCTCACCACTCCAAACTCAACCCCTCGACTCCCGCTCCTCGCACTCTCTTGCTCCTTCCGTCTGCACACCCCTCCCCAAGCTCTCCCCCTCCGCCTCCTCCTCTCTCCCCTCACTACTCGCACTCTCTCCCCTTCTCCCAGTCAAATTCGCACCAGGCCCAGGCCTCGCCCAAGCCACCAGCTAGCTACAGGGACCCTGCAGCCGCAACAACAGCAGCAGCAGCAACAACAACAACACAAACAGCGGCGGCGGCGGCGGCGGCGTCAACAGAATCGGCGGCGTCAACAGAATCGGCGGCGAGGGGGCTCGTACCGATGACCTCCTGCAACTCGTAGTCATCCCGAGCGTTCGTCCACGCCGCGGCGCCGCCACCGCCGCCGCCCTCTTCCGCCATGATGATGATGACGAGTTGAGACGGGGGGGGGGCGGGCCTCTGCCGTCACCCGCGGCCCCGCCCTTTAATCAGCGGCCCTCAACACAAGCCCCGCCCCCTTCATCACCCCGCCCCCCTTCATCACCCCGCCCCCCTTCATCACCCCGCCCCCTCCGTGGCTCCGCTCAAGTGATGCCCCCCGCCCCTCGACCCGCAGCCCCGCCCCTCAGACGCCAAGGCCTCGCGTCACGTGGTGCAGCGCTTCCACCGCCGCAGAGGAGCCGTGTGTTGGACCCAGTTTAACCCCAAGCAGGCCTAAACCGTGAACTTCAACGTGGAGAAGGACGCATCTTCTCTGAGAGACCGGGTCAAATTAATACGTCAGTAGGTTTCACTACGTTTGAGCAATTTCATTCATGGCAAAATATACCTTTATTATAAATTCACAAAACCTATGGGGTCACTAGCGGAGCCAGTAGGGGGGGGTGGCACGTGCCCCCCCAATGATCCGATCGAAATCCCTAATTTCGATCGGATCATTGGGGTTTATTAGTAACTTGCTTTACTACCGGGCCTCGCCCGAGACTTGTATTCTTACTTTTTGGTTCTATTGGGTAAAGTCACGTAGGTAAAAAAAAAAAATCACGACGTTTCGGCCACAACACAAGCGGCCTTCATCAGGTGAAGGGACGAGGCTGTCTGGAGGACAGCGCGGAGGGTGGGTGGGGGGGTGTGACGTCAGCAGGCACACTGCCTGACGCTGCCGCATGCGGGTGACATCAGATGTGACGTCACCGCTCACTTGCCGTGCAAAATATATCCATTATTGCGCCCCCCCTCCCCCCCCCCCAAATACAAAAGTCTATTTTTATACATTTTGCATTGTGTACAGTCTGGAAGCTACCCACATGCCAAATTTCAAGTTTGTTGCATGTTGGGAAGTATGCTAAACATTTCGAACAGACACATTCACAAATTTCCCTTTAATATATACTGTATATATAGATACATCGGCATTTTGCTTCCCCCACTGCCACTGTGTAGCATATTATTACGTGTCAGGGACTCTATGAGATGATAGCACAATAGTCCGAGTCCATAATTGCCAATAAGTAACGGCAAAGCAGTTATAAGTCACTCACAGAATTGTGCACAGTTGCGTATACAGTACACGACTTCCCTGAAGGCATTCACCTTCAGCGAGCGCGATGCCTATCACAGATGGTTCAAATTGACCCTGGATCGATGGCTGCGCCATCGCCGCACACACGCGTCAAATAAAAAGCAAGGGACAAGTCCTTACGAACGCCTATCATTTTTCATTTCTGGAGGGGTTGCCCCCCTACCTGAAAATCCTGGCTCCGCCATTGTATGGGGTCCATTATATAAAGCAACTTAAGTACAAAGTACCGGGGGAAAAGGGAGCCAGGAAAATCTCACCCACGAACTCACTCTGTGCAAGCGAATGCAGGTGATGTCCCCACCCCCACAATGAGAAATTGCCAACGTGAAGTGTCCCCAAAGCTCACCGGCGATGAACACGAGGCGTCGAGCTGCCGCCAATAGGGGCCAGCTATGAGCACGCGTTTCCAGAGCTGTTGTGATCGCCTCTGATTGGCTTAGATTGCACGCGCTCACAATGGCGGCGCCAGGAAGCCGGATCTGATATGACGTAATGGAAGCGTGCGTGCGTGCAGTCGTTCAGTGCCGGAATGTTGAGAGTAACTGTAGAGAGCCGAGCTTGGCTGGAGAGATCTGGGATTACGTTCCTGTATCTGACTGAACGGGAGAATATGAAAATGTTTCGTAACATTAATCCTGTACACGTAACTTTCATCCATATATTTTATGAAACAGAACAATGATACAAATATAAAATACAAAACATCAATAAATTACACTGTCATCTGGAAGTCTTATTTACCTTGGATGATTATGGGGGCGTGATGATTCAACTTTGGTGGTCATCGTTACCCTTGCTGCTACACTTCCCCCTGATCGCCCTCTCGCGTGTCTCTACAAATCTGACTGTTGACTCGTCTACCATGAAATGACACCAACAGCAGACGACGCACCATCACCACCAGCAAGTCTATCCAACAACTCCATCTTTTTGAGCAAAACTCATCACCTGCCTTTCACCTCTCGCTCTCATTTCCTCCACTAACTGGGCGCTTAGATCCCATGATTGAAATTAAAAAAAAACACAAACAGGGAAAAAGTAGCACAAAAGGCTACGGGCACGTGAAGCGTAAAAATCTAAGCCGTGTGAATGGCGACACATGCGCCACAATCCAAAACAGTACTGCGCAAGTACAATATTATTCTAGCAAAGTGGGATGCTGCCAAATCGCGAAGTCAAAGGAATAATATAGTAACGCGGCGGCGCACCTTCAGCGATTTGTCCCGCCATGTTACTGTGTGCGTGTATCGTATCTCGCTAAACTTTATTGTTATATTATGGGGAAAAAAATTCGCTGAACGCGTTTTTAGCTTCAAGCAGAACTTTTCAGGAATGCTTCTACCGCGTTTAACGATGACTTATTGTACAAATATAACATGGCAATCAAATTTGGTGAAAGAAAAATCTGCGAATGAAGAGGTTTGACTGTCCTTGGTAGTGTTGATAGAGATTGTGCGCAAGTGTGTTGGTGTACAAGTCCCCCCTAGAACAAGCTGCTTTGCCCACTTTATTGTTCTAAACGGTTTATGAAACCCTAATTAATCCTGCAGTACAACACGAGTTTTGGAGTTTCTTCCGAGCTTTATTCATCGAGTTCTGCACAAACACCGACAGCGACAATGCTATGTGTGCTTGGTTTTACATGGAAAGACAAAAAGAACACATGGATTAGAGAACATACCCAGGTTAACAACATCTAAACTATTAAAAAGAAGTCGGTGGACTTGGGCAGGACACAATTCGCCAGACAAGATGATGGATGATGGTCTGGAAGAATAATGGAGTGGCAGCCCAGGGCTGGAATACCCACCGAGGAGATGGCGCGATTGAATCACTTAAACGAGCAGGTGCTGGGTGGACTGTTACATCGTAAGATCATGAGAGGTGGCGGTAGCTTAGGGAGGGCCTTCAGCAGTGGATTTAGCACGGCTGATGATGCCGTGCTTACTCCTGAAATTAGTCTACCCATGGCCCACAGCCCCTCCCGCACAGGGCAAGAGGTCACCGTAGGCCCTCCATCACTGAGTTTCCATTTAATAGCATCTTATTCCAATCCTTTTTGTTACACGACCGCCGTACAGTAAATTAAACTAGTAACTGAAAAAGTCAAGGTCAATGGCGTTGCCACTACTAAGCTTTACAATAATAGTGAATTTTTTTATGCATTTTTTTGTTCACTTGAGCAAATTATTCAGAGACGTGAGAGCTCCTGTCCCTGACTTGCCTCTGGTCAATTTGCTTCTGGTCAACACTCTGAGAACCCATCTGCCAGTGTTGGGCTGAATATTCAGTCAATACTCAACTGGGAAAGCACAAGCAATCATGCCCCTACTGGCAGACATGCCCACTCAGTCCAGATGTTGAGTCACCTTGTGCTGGAACAGCTGCCACTAGGGGTGCCCTTTCAAGTGTTCGCAATAATATGCAAGTGGTTTACTGTGTAACGCGCTCCGAGACACAACGGCATCTATGAGGGCGCTCTATTAAATACGATTAATGTGACTCATGTGGATCCATAGTAAAGGTCTCAGAAGTGTTTTGTTCAGGTAGTGTTCTCCTGTGATTCCAGCGTGAACTCGAATGACATGGGAGTTGTGGAAGTTGTAGACTCTGGATGATGGTCACACTCCTCGTGCCACTTCCTAACCATAGAATGAGGCAGGATCAGAATCTCTTTCACGTGTCATTAAGGATTTCATATTCATATTCCTTTTAAGATACATTTTGATCCTATGTTTCAGTTAATACAGTAGCAAAAATTAAATAGACGGTGATAGGTCAGAATGCATAAGAGGTGTTTTGGGTTAGATCGCGTAAATGCGTCATTAAAACCCGCCACCACCCACATGTACAGTCTTGGCTCTGTAACACACCGGTGAGCTTTACTAGTGACGAATTGGCATGTTCTGTTTACGTGACAACCCTTACTAGTTGGCTGTGTCGGGTGGTGGGTTTTAACGACACATTTATTTCCTTACGCGATCTAACCCAAAAAGAACCCTCTATTATGGATATTGGTCGCGAAAGCCTACGTGTTAAACAGGTCAGAGTGCTTTTGGGAAACTGAACTTGACAATGAAAATCAAAAGACCAATGTTCGTAGAGAAGAATATTTTTCACCAGTGCTCATTTCTGACTTTGTTATATGGATCAGAAACATGACCATTGACAAAGAGAAGTAAACAAAAGCTGAAGAGTGTGCAAACGAGCAGAGAGGTGCATGCTTGGAATTACACGGAAAGAGGCACATGGATGACAGTGTTTATAGACATTACTGTACATAAATTAAAGTGGGTTGGGGAGGACATTGCTCGAGAGAATAATGGTGGTGGAGACTAAATAAATATTGGCAGCTAAAGGAGGAAACACGCCCGAGAGGACCTCGACTTTGGAGACGAAACGATGAGATCAGCTTGTGTGTAGGAAGCTGGATTGTTCCAATTCGTGAGTCACTGCCGTCCGCAAACACAACACAGAAGTGACACGCTGAGCGATAGCAGTGTCCGTGTGCACGTCCAAGCGCAGTGCGGCACAATCCCCCCCCCCATCCCCACTGTGATTGGCAGTTACATGAAAAAAACGTGACCGGTTTGCCACGCATAAAAAAATGTTCACCTCTGAAAATTGAAAGGAGCTGCCACAGCGGTGGTGTGACAGTGAGCAGCACACCGGATTTGCAAATTAGAGGTCGTCACCTTTTCCAAGATGCCTGGTCAGTGTCGAAGAGTAGACCAAATACCCTATTGAGTGCCCTCTAGTAGGGGCCTTTCCACCAATGGCGTGAGCGAGCAATTTCAATTGGCTTGTAACTGAGAGACGAGGGCACGTGAAGCACATGGTGACTTAGGCTGTCATGCGGTTTTTGCTCGTCCGCACATGCCAATCACGTTCCACCAGAATCGATGACCGATTCCTGACTTTCCAAGCCGGAAACCGATTCTGAAAACAGTTACCAGTTTCCCAGTTGTGGTTTGACAGCCCTAGTCAAGAGATTTTCTAGTTCCAAGTGTGATTCGATGAAACTTACAAAAGCAATCGGCTGCGAGAGTAGTTTTCTAAATTTATTCGTCTCAAGTCTTTGTCAAAATGTCTTATGATGAAATTAGTCAAGGATCTTAAGCGAGTTCTACATTTCTTTTCGCGAATACACGTAAAATTATACATACAAAAGAAGTCGGACACCCAAAGGTACACGCGCAGTCAATTCCTGGAGCTTCTTACAGAGGCGCAATTAAACACTGCACAGCGAGGTGTACGATATTCATCATCGGCTCGGACATTACGTATATACAGTACATCTTTAAATACATCTCTTCAGTTGTATGCCAGTCTTTCCATCGGGATAGCTCAGGCTATGGATTAGCCCAACCGTTTCCCCACAGGGGCTTCCTGCAATTGTACAAGAGGCATTGAATTTCCACAGTTTTACCAAGTTCAGATTTGGGTCACACCATCGGTGCCGGAATTAATATAGTTAGCAATGTCATCTTTCACAAATACTGAAAAAAGCACATGCCACCAATACACATCGATGCAGCCAAAAGCTCGTCGAATTAATTGCGGTTGATAATTAAAACCTTAAAAGTCGCGATATTAATCAATGGTTATAGCTCAATTGGTAAGGCATTGTTAACTTTTGGGGGAATCTTACAAATAATAAAGTCAGAATACTACCGATACGGAGAGTGTCATGCGGCACATGGTCTGCAGGCTACGACCAGGCTGACACACGAATATTAAAAAGATCACTCAGGTTCCCAGGGGTCAACTCAAACCCCAACGTGACTTGAATCTCTTCATCTCATCCAGGGTTTCGAGTGTCCCCATTGCTATCATGTCAGGAACGCGTGTCACGTAGATGTGCCACCTCACAATGGACACTCGGTTGCTGTGCACCGAAGACCAAGAGACACAAACGGCTAGTGTGGCAGTGAAGTCTGTGAAAAATGTACCCACAAATCTCTCGTGGGATTACACACAGCAGTAATCATCGCCCCCTACTGGCAGACTAACGCCATAATGGGGCAGCTGCCACCTGGTGCGTCATTTCGAATGTGTTCATGAGATGCGAGTCACTGATCGTGTGTAAATCACTCCGGAGAGGCCCCGTAGTGAAGGAGGGCGGCTCTGCCAAATACAAACAAGTATCATTATCATGATTAGGACATCACCGGAATGCACCTCACCTCGTCGCATCTCGGAGGCCAAGCAGGAGATGTGGGGTTGTGGGTAGCAGAAAGCAACGTAGTAACATCCATTGTACCGTCCTATGCTCCCCACCTTCACCAAGCCGCACTGACCAGTGTAATGAAATATGGTAAAATAACCCCCACGATCCCCATGGAGTAGAGAGGTCCTCGTCCAGCAGTGGTCCGCATGTGCGCGTGTAGTTGTGAGCACACCTTCGCCAGCGCATTCACCGGCGCCCGCTGAACAGCGTGTGCCAACACCGTAGCCATGTCACCGGCTCTTTAACGCGCCCCGTACTTTGGTAAAGCACCTTGCCAAGTCGCGGTTATGCTGCCACGCACTGAGCGCACGCGCACACTCGTCCGTGTAGAGTAGAAGCAGCGGTAGAGTTGTCAGCTTGAGCCACTACATTATCAGTGACCCAAGGTCCACAACGCAATCAATTTGGACAAAGCACCCAGGCGCAACTCGCGACGCTACACACAAACAGCGGGACGTGCACTACAGGGAAGAGGTGGCGGAGAGGAGATAGTATTCTTGAGAGCCCAGACTTGAGCAGAGGAATTGTCAGCACAGACAGCTGGGGGAATGGGAATTCAGAACTATGGGGGCAGCAGAAGAGAATGAACAACTTCCCACCGAGTGAAGTTTAACCTGCGCTCTTGACAGGAGGCCTTGGTTGCTCATGCATAGAGCGCATGAATGGGAGTAAGAGGAAGGCAAGGGGGAGGAGGTGGGGGGGAATTGCGCGGGATGAGAGAGAGAAGTAGGCAGTAACGAGGCTATAGAGAATCTTGAAGATGGCGAGTGGGAGCTGGTGAAGGGATCGGAGTATTGGGGTGACATGCTCTTGACAGCGGCATGTTGGGTCATCTGGAGGTTGCAGGCGATGGATTTACCTTGAAGATCTGCAGCTGTCAAGACGTGAAGACATGGATGAGCGACTCGGCAGGAAGCTGGGGCAGAGCAGTGGCGGACGTGGGAGATGTGGCGCAGATTGAGCAATGAGTTCAATAATTGGCCTTGTGAACCAGCGGCCATGCAATGGCCATGGGTGCCTCTGGCCGAACCCTGGCTGGAGCAACGTACATCAGCACTGGGAGGATAGAAGCGGGCAAGTGTGGTGCAGGCACGTGGTGCTGGACAAACAGGTTGCTTGCTAGCGGCCCTACCCCACACGGTCTGTCCAAGTGAAAATGGGATTTACGAGTGGTGTGCATGTACAGGAAACGAAGGCGCATGTTACACGGAGGTGGAGATGCGAGGCGGAGAAACTTCTACTGCAATCACGCGCGAGAGGAGGAGCAGCGCAGGCTGTCGTCATCCTCCGAGGGCTGCATACTCGGCAGTCACTGCAGCAAGGGTCCCAACCGCTGCTCTGCAGCGCAGTGGCTATGTACAAGTTCCGTTTTAATCACAACTCGTCAATTTGCTTGCTTTTTAAAACACACCGATTCATATCTGGCCTACAGTTTAATCAGGCATAGTGTTACTGGTAGACTGGGTGACCCGTGGTGCAGCATTCACCTGATGTGTCTTATTACACAACTGTATAACAGTGGCAACAGAGGGCTACACGCACACACGCGCACCACAAACACACACATACGCACGCGTTGAGGGCATGATCAACATGGCAGCTTCAATACAAAGACTCCTTTCAAAGAAAGTGACTGCAGCTTATATACTCCCTACTTTCCGCTATCGCCATCAAACATCAACCGTCACCGTAAGGCATGCCACTCGCTCGACTTGATTTCCGTGAAGACAACGAGAGGACAGAGAGAGATGTCTACACAGATGTTAACTTCCCTCCAGATATGGTGTTGCCTACAAAAAAAGCAGAGGTTCTCCCAGAGTGTGAGACAGGAGGGCTGCTGGGCCCCAGAGGGAGCTCTAGAGCAGGGGCTGCTGCTGCTGCTGCTGCGTGTACAGGGCCTGCGGCGGGGGCTGCACCGGCTGCACGGCGTGCGGTGCGTTGTGCAGGCTGCTGTAAGCGGGCCCTGGGAACGTGCCGGCCACGCCGCCGGCTGGGAGGCTCCCGGGAGGGAACCCCGTGGCCTCTACTCCGACAGGGCCCGGCGGCCCCATGTACACAACGTGGCCTGTGCCGGGCAGGGCACTGCAACGAGACGACAGCAGGACACGCACACATACAGCACCCACATTCACCATCGCCATGGGATACGCACAGCACATGAGACAACGAACTGTGATAAAAATGTACAGAAGTCACCCGAAGTTCTCTCTCACATACACCTGGGGCTTCAGGGTTGTAGAATCAAAGTGGTGCTGGTCACACAAAGCCTAGGTATTATTGACGATGATGATGATGATTGCTTTAAGCCAGGGTAGTCTTGGAGCGCTGTACATGTGGTAAGCGACTTATATCTCATCGCAAACATTTGAAAAGGCACACCCAGTGACAGCTGTCTCTCGGGGCATACGGTGACAGCACCTGGCTTGCAGATGGGCATGAGACTGCCAGGAGCGGTAGCGCATACATCGCTCATTGCAGAGGTTCGCAGTTTGAAACCTGTAGGCAGCCCTGATTATTACTGAGGGGTGTATTTGCCATAGAAACAGCCTGCTTCACAGTGGATATTAAAGATCCTTTAATGTTGTTTGAAAGCGTAGGCCATTGTGTGCTGGCGGCATGGTCCAAATTTGCCAAAAAAAAATTAGCTACAAATTACTCAACTGGAATTACAGAGAGAAAAAAAAACACTCCCTACTGTCAACTTACTGCAGGCATTGTCTGTGAAACATAGCGGCTTCGTAATAGCCTTGGGCGTTAGCAATGGCAAGAATACCAAAAGTATTAAATTATAAAAAAAATATTATAACAGTGCAAGGGCCAGAGTGGATATGGGTACCACCTAACATCTTAACATTTCAGTCATACGGATTACTTGGCTCGGACAAATTACTTTTGTGAACCATAATTAAATTATTTTTCATGAACTTCAAAAGAGATCTAAGGTGATGATTGAGTATGTAAACAGAGTCAAACACAACCGCAAGTGACATTATCGTAAAGAACCGACGGCTTAGAACTGCGATTTGCATGGGAAAGTAACCAAGGCCGTACAAAGCAATATAATTCCTGGTGTTTGGGGCATTCGCAGGGATTGAGTGAGAACCAGGTGAGTTTTGTGTCCTCGGTACAGTGCACTTTAGTGCTGTGGGGCATCTAAAATGTCGAGGTGATGTCAACAAGTCAAACAGAGGCCGAGCCAGAGCCGAGTCTCACTGAGAATATGGCCCAAGTGACTCATCCTGCACCCATGTTGAGGACTCAGTCTAGTAGACAGACTCTTCCGTCTCATCCATCACACCGTGTCCACCCATTGCCACACTGCAGGTCACAACAACATACTCCCTCACTCAAGCACCCACCCATCCAATTACTCACACTCATTCACTCAATCCTCACCACACTGCAGTTCAATACACATCACTTGCAGCTTCTTCCCTTACACTGCTCCACTTTGGATTCACTCCCATTATCTTTTTTCCCCAAGCTCAATTTGCTAAATGCATTACCCTCTTAGCTATTGCACATTTGATAGTGCTGTTTGTTGCTGAACATTTGGCGTGTTGGACCATTGGACCTGTGCTCAGCAACTGTGTAAAAAAAGAGTGTGTGGCAGCCAGCACCGCCGGCGATGCTCCACACTCACTTGGTGTAGGCGTGGCCGGGTTGGCTCCCCCCCGGGCCCAGGGTGGGAGGCAGTGAGGCAGCACTTGTACCCTGGCCGCCATCGGCAGGTCCGGGATAACTATGAGCCGTGCCCGGCACCATGTATCCGCCACCACCGCCAGCAGCAGGGCCACTGTACGGCTGCTGCTGCTGCTGCTGCTAGTGTCAAGTTACACACACACACACACGGAGACAGGAACGTGGTGTCAAAAGTCAAAAGTGATTTCTCACTCAAACAAGAGTTGAGGTGAGGCTGTGACGTGGCCCAGCGGTAGGACGTTCGCCGCTTGTTGCAGAGGTTCAGAGTTCGAATCCAGCGGGTTTCCCTGGTTATTACTGCAGGTGAATAAATGCATGTCGTTTGTTTCACAGTGGACCTTAAGAGATCCCCTGACATCGTTCTAAGCGAGAAGGCCATTATGTGCCAACGCCACATATACAATTTGGCAAATTCGAAATATTATCCTCAAATTATTCAATTGGGATCACACACAGCAGTAATTATTGGCCGCCAGTGGGAGGCTAATGACCGTTTGCAGGCCAAGTGCCGACAGGGACAGCAAGTCACATTTTGCATGTAAAGGGTTCTGAGACGCCCGGCCTGAAGGGCGCTCTATCAAAAACAAATCATTGTCATTTCCTCTCCTGTGTACAACCCTCAGCCAGTGGTGGAAATTCTACATTCATACGGTGGAATGAGTCGATCCATAGGACAAAGTGGCACTGATTTTTCTACCCAAGAGGGATGATGGGCTGAGTCGACCCCCAATCAGAATTTGAACTTGCAACCTTCAGATTGCGAGCCGCTTGCTCTAGCGCAGAATCACGCGACCGCTTTGAGTACGAGAGTGTTACAATAGACATGTGGATGCCATGTTCGCCCGGCCTTACGCCGCAGAGCTCACAGTGAGTTCACGCGCACAATACGTGTTACTCAGCCGGAGGAATTTGACACCGACATTTTGTATGTAGCACGGAAGCACAAAACACTTCGGAAGTGTTCTTGAACGAAACAACACAGCATCACGAGCGAGGGGGCTGCCGTGGTGGATTTAATGGTGAGCGCACTGGACATTAATGTTGCACAGACGCAACATTTATGAAACCCCGCCACCACCACCACCATCTCTACCCTCCCAGCGGTATAAATGGGTACACTGTAGTCAGTTGATCAACGGGTTGCATGTGGGTACTCTTCCAATACGTCTCGGCCAGCATGGAAGAGTAAGCCAAATACCTTCTATAAGGGCTCTCTACAGCTCCCTCTAGTGTAGGCTATTCCGCCAGCAGTGATGTGGATAGGGAATTGCAGGGCTGCCCTCTCGTGCAGTAGAAGACACGGGCAGTGGGTGTCACTGTGGTGGCCCTGAGTGAAGTCAGTTTCCACAGCGATTCTCCCCGCCGCTCTTCCTGGCTTTGAACAATGACTCAGTACGTTTGGTTTTCGTTCCATTCTTACAGCGTAATGAGATCATCGCGAAGGCACTGCTGTGTTTCACACAGCCTGCAGTAATTTCACAGTAGGGGGGTGATGTTGCTGTGTGTGATCCTAACTTAGCAATTTGCAGCTCATTCTTCAAACTTGTCAATTTAGACCGTGTTGCCAGCACACAATGGCCTACTCTTTATGAATGAGATCATAGGATCTTTAATGGTTACTGTGAGTGAGTTTTACACATACCGCAGCAGTAACCACATCGGTCAAACATCAGAATATCGAAATCAAAAACGGAATATTTTATACTGGAGGAATCTGATGAGCAATGAAGCTCAGATGTTCGTCAGGTACGAACGCATGACCGCTGCGACGTCAGAGTGACGCGAGTATGACGTCAGCATCTCCTGAATCAAGAGAGGGCCTCCACCTGTGCGCGGTGCATGTGGGACCGGTGGAGAGGCCCGGAGTGTGCAGCCAGGGCCGTCCGTAAGGGGGTGCGAGGCTCAGGGCAATCCCACCATGCGAGTCCCCGACTCCTTTAAACTAAACTGGAGGTATTCCATCTGGCACCGTGCCGTGGATTCGCAGGGCCCACCAAAGCGCGGTGGCCAGGGGCGGTCGCCCCGATTCGCTGCTACCCTCGGGGTGCCTCCGAATGCAGCCTGCGCCTCGAATTCTGCTCCTTGGGCTTTGCCCCCCCTCACCTGTGAGTAGTAGTGCTGCTGCTGCTGCTGCAGGGACGGCTGCACCTTCCCATAGACGCCATAGCCGGGGGCCTCATTCATGAGCTGGTTGTACAGCTCAAACGCTTCCATCACCTTCACGTTAATGTCCGACAACTCAGAGTGTTTCCTGCGAACATCAAACAAAACAGTTTAACACGTAGGCTTTCGCGACCAACATCATCCATAATACCTATACAGGTACAGGTATTATGGATCAAACATAACAGCGGCTCGGCTCCACGGTGCCACTGGGGGTTTTGGGGGTAGTGTTCATGTTGCGATTGTGCCGGGTAATCGATCCGATGATTTAAATTGACTCTTGCACCCATGGCGCATGTGCTGAATCGTCTAAAAAAATCAATAGTTTTTTTAATTACACTGATCATGCTCACACTGTACGATAGTCAACCTCTAGGCTTTGAGTGTGCTCAATACAGAACACGCGATACAGACGATAACAGTGAGAGAGCACAAATGGGATGAAGCATTGATTCTGAAATTTCTATTTCTACAGACCATGGAGGTGATTGGGAGGGGAGAGGGGTTAATCACTGCCATAGTTTTACAGTGCAAGTTATCTGAGAAATCTCAATATCAGGCCTAGTCAGGAGAATTCGAACAATTCCGAATTATACTTGTTTCAGATTGATAAAAAAAACAGGACGTGACATTAATAACACAACATCAGTTTCTCCGTTCCCGACAAAAACAGTGTCACGTAGTGTGTAATGACGTCACATGCATAGAGTATCCGTTCGGGTTTGTGTCTGGGTGCGAGTCTATACGTCTCTGTGCGAGTCTATGGGTTTCTATGTGAGTCTGTGCCTCGGTTTAAGTCTACTGGGCATCTGTGAAAAAGAGCTTTATAGAACATTGGATATACATTCCTCCAGTACCAATATATATTCTAAGTTTTATAAATATTCTGTTTCTCTTTGTGAATCTATAGGTCTCTATGTGAACTTGTGTCCACGGCTAACGATCTCTGAGGGCACAGATGGTAGACCCTCGCTGGGATGTGATGCCAGCAGCTAGAATCCAGATATGGAATTACAGAATTACAGTTGCTCCTCAATTCGTATCCGTACAGGAGAGATTGACAAGAGATAGGGATTGTGCAAAGTGTATGCTGCCATCATAAGGGGTACACACCGGTCAATGTCCTCCAGCTTTTGGTCGATCAGAGGCCCCATGTGCTGGCACGACTCTAAACGCAGAGCAGCACAGAGGGAGAGCCAGTGAGAGCGTGTCTGAGTCTCAGTCAGTGGTGTCGGGTCGCCATTTCATGAATATCCAAATCCACGTCACAGCTTAAGTTGACATGCAGATTTCAAGCGGTCAATATCGTGGTCAATAATTGGTTTGGCCATGTGTAATTATTTGACCAAATTTTTGTCGTAAGGACGTGCCACTACCCAACCCAGCGAAATAAAATTGTCACCCAGTGTACGAGGGACACCGATCGTTACTGTTTCAGCTCATATTCTCGCTCACCCACTCTCCCACCTACCCACTCACCGATTCACTCACTCACTCATCGAAAAAATTCTAGAACACTTGTCACAACCACATTTAGCGATTAGATTAACGACCTTTCACTTGAAACTGCGTCGAGCATCTTCAGGGATAAAGTTCAGGAAGTAAAAAAAACAAGCCAGGAAGTCAGAACTGTGTCACCTGACCTCACAGGAATAGACCAACCAATCAGATTTAATCTAGATATTAACCATTGCAAATTGATGTATTTTAATGCTAGTTTGCTTCATCTGAGCTAACTGACTAGCGTGGCATGCATTATTCATTGTGGATCATGTTGGCTGTGAAACCCTCCATGTCAAGGATGGTCTCACTGCACAAGTGACCTTGGAGTCTGCGTGTGGCCGCCTCGGTGAAGGAGCTCATCGCGACAGACAGACACACAACTCGGTGCCTCCCTCTCTACAGCAGCAGCCTGAGGTGGTTCCTACTGCAGTCAGCAGCCTCAAGCTAGTGCTGGAAATTCCACATTCTTATGGCAGGGGACAGTATCTTCATTGGACAACCGCCGATGACTGAAAGGGATGATGGGCTGAGTTGACCGTAAAACCGTAATTTGAAATATTGCGCATCCGACTGAAACCAAAGTTTGGGTAAGGTTGCCGTTTAGCTGCTGCTGCCGATGCTGTAGCTGTTTCTGCTGTAACTGAGTAGTGGTCAATATACCAAGCATTCTGATCATCCATTCAGATGACTCACAACAGGCTCTGTGATCCACCAGCAATGCTCTGACCAACAATTAGCCAGATGGATTTAACCCTGTAATATACGACATACAGCAAAAGTGCCATCTATTGGAAGATGTTATGATGATTTCATGCATGAAGTCTTAAGTCGCGGATTGTTATTCGTCATTAGCCATCACGAAAATTGTTGCCTGTTTATGTTCTTGTTTGTTCTTCTGAGTTTTGAGATGCACAACAAAATATTTTCTGATCAACCACCCATGGGTTGGGATCCACTGCTGCTGCTAGAGGAGTGTATAAGAGTGTGTGTATGGAGGAAAATTTTCGTACTGTGTAGAGCAAAGAGCGCTGGCGTGATACAAAGCGTTTAAAAGCTGATGAGCGAAAACAAAGGACAGGCGCTGTAGTAGTAGCTAAAGACTACAGGACAGTGCAAGTGCTACTGGCCAAATATCCGAACGTTGAAAAAATGCCCTCTATTTACTGAAATGGGATATAACACAAGGCAACATCGCCATCCTGCGAAAATCTGACAGGAACGTCCCTAAATAGAGAAACTTGGTGGGGCTTTCCTAGGTAAATGAGCGTAACAAGAATAATTAACAACAAGTGGCAGCACGGTGCCAGCGCCGTACCCTCCAAATAGAGCAGCTCAGGGGGGTCGGGGCGCTCGTCGGCCGGGTCAGCGCTCTGCAACATCCTCAGCAATGTGTCCATCTTCCCCTGCGCGCACACACACACACAAAGGTTCCCCATGTAGCTGTTAACACGTTGTTGGGGGGCAAGCGTGAACAGCCATCAAGGGGGACACGGTGCACAAGGGGGTGGTGTGGTCGATACCACGCCCGGCCACCTTTTTCTAATGTGGACAGCAGAGTGGTGCAGTGGTAACACTCGGTGGTGAGAAGTTAACTACCTCGACTGCTTTAAAGGAAGTCGTGAGTTCGATCCCAACCCTGATGCCTGTATATTTGGAGCTTGCGTGTTCTCCCTGCGGTCGCGTGGATTTTATCCGGGTCCTCTGGTTTTTCCCTCCACATTTAGAAACATGCATTCCGAGTATTTGGCTGCTATAAATTTCCACATGATAAGCTACATCGCTGAGCTGTCAATTGTTGCCAGGTCGCTTCTGAAAAAGAGCTATATAGCTCAGTGGGCATTAGCTGGTAAAATTAAAACAAAACATTGTTTAGTTTAAAAAAAGTCATGGGTTCAATTCCTGACTTAGGGCACCTCTCTGTGTAGAGTATGTATGGTCTCCCCATGTTCAACATGGATTTCCTCTGAGTTTTCCACTTTTCTCCAGTAGCTAAACACATCCAGTGTAACTCGCATTGGCCAAACATCCCAATGCTGAAAATTTACCCTGAAAATTACTCAATTGGGATCACACAACAAAATCAACATCGCACCTACTGCAAAAAAACATGGCAGGACATGCCAGAAAAATAGTTGAGAATTAGCAAGGCTTTCTGGTAAACAATATAATAATTAACCAGTACTGGCCGCGCATTTGCGTTTTGCGTGGGATCCACGGTTGGGGTGGAATGTGGGTGGGTAGAGGCATGACGTTCGCGCGACGCATGAACACGGCTCAACGCTGTGGGATGCAGGTGACGCCATCATGCAGATGTGTGCGGTGACGTCACCACCACACACTTGCCTGCTCGCGTGCCAGCCACCAAAGTTTTTTTACATAATATTTTACACAGTGCAGGCAGGCCGTCATCCATCAGTGGGCTGAGAATGGGCTGCACAAGTGCAACGCGTGTGGCAAGGTGATCTGGCTCGGGGGAGGAGATGCTCACTTCATCGATGAACAAGGGCTCGGGCTCCGGTTCAATGGCTTCCACCTTCACCTCGTCGCTGAACTGTACCGTTTTCTTCTCGGTCTTTATGGCTGTTAAAACAACAATGCAGTCGCCTCACACCCTCTCACACTGAGTCACACTCACTCCCTCACGATCTCACACTCTCTCACTCATCGTCTTACACTCACATACTCTCACACTCACTCATTCACGTACTTACACTATCGCTTCCGCTCAAGCTCTCACACTAACTCACTCAACAATAACCATTGTTTGCCACTAGTCGCGATGATGTTACCATAGCGCTTGTGCCAGGCTAAGTGTACTTTGAGGGCACATTAAGTGTTGAGGGTTCGCTGGCAGGTTTCAGAAAGGATCCAGGCGCCATGGGTTGACTGAGATTGTCGGTAGACGCACCACCTGTGCTCCCCACTGTGCCAACTTGCTGTGTTTTAGCCATTCGGTGCTCTGCTCTTTGTTGTCAATGTCGCTCCTCCATCCTCCATCATTGCTGGAGGGCGAGTGCCTCCAATTAGCCAGTAGGATCCTTCACAAACCTCTTGCACAGAGCTCGATCTTGACACCACTGGTACCAGTCATCGGCAAGTCCAATCAGCTCCACATTCTTTTGTATCGCATTAGTCCATCTCTTCCGTAGCCCGTGCCATGCCCGTTTAGCCCCATCTATCCAGCCAACAGAAACTGATTAGGCAAGTGGTGGTTGCGCATGCGAGCTACAAGGGCAGCAAGGTGGCGACATGTTATCTCCTTCACCTGCTATGCAGAAAGTCGTGGGTCTGACACCTGTATATTTGGAGTATGCGTGTTCTCCCGGTGGTCTCATGTATTTTTCTCTGGGTCCTACATTTTTTCCCTCCACATTTAGAAACATGCGTTTAAGTTTATTTGATTGCTATCAATTTCCATATGACTTGCCACTTCATTGAGCTATCATTTGTGGCCAGTTTGCTTCTGAAAAAGAGCAATTAGCTCAGTGGGCTTTACCTGGTAAACTAAAAATAGTTTAAATTAAATAGATAATTGTTTTGAGCTTTGTTGAACTATCATTTGTGGCCAGGTTACTTCTGAAAAACACCTATTAACTCAGTGGGCTTTACCAGGTGAATAACATAGTTTAGTTTTAGTTTAGTTCAAGACCCAGGCAATGCAGCTTGCTTGCCGGAGGAGCTCACCGATTGGACTGTGTCCAGATCTTTCAAGGATCCTTGAGTTCTTCACACAATCCAAGTTTGGTTAAACCCAGGATGGATCGTACGCAGGCCAGTCTGAATGTTTAAAATTGGCGTAGATATTCCTTGAGGACTCCACGTTTCGCAAGAATACGGAAGACCCATTGTTTTTTTTATGGAGCAATCGGCTTCCACACAGCATTAAAAAGCTGATGAAAAAATGCCTCGACTGATTCGGAGACCTCTACTGCCAAACTGGAGCTGGTTGTAAGCACGCTGCCCAGGTATGGAAACTTCTGCACTCTTTCCACAACTGCCCCATCACTCATGGGGAGTGGAGGGCGGGGATTATTCGAGGAGATAAAATACCTAGGCAGATGGTTTGTTTTTGTGGGGCTGATGGTAAGGCCCCTTCTGTTAGTAACATGATTGACATTCATCAGTAGGGTCTGCCACTCCTACTTAGAAGGATTGAGGTTCTGCAAGTCTCTACTCAACATGTCTGACAAGGTGATGTTGAATAATCCTTGGCAGGACCTTTCCCGGCCTCACACTGAGTAGGAAAATGCTCTGGTAGTTGTTGCCATCAGTGCGATCCCCCTTTTTTCACTGACTGATTCTCACTCTCATGTTTAAACGCTTTCTCTGCAGAACAGGGGGAGAACATAAAAAAAATCCTCTCACACACTCACTCGGTCACTCACTCGGTCACTCACTCTGCAGCATAGAGGGAAAACACACAAACTCCATGCAGAAATGAGTCAGGAATCAACCTCAGGCGCTTCTTGCTATGAGGGATGAGTGTTGGGCCAGGTCACCAGCCTTGGTCTCACAGTTTCTGCTGAGCACGTGAATTCTAATTCACTGCCATTCACAGGAAGGGAGCGAGGTGACCCGTGCTGTCCCATGCTGTCCCGTGCTGTCCCGTGCTGTCCCATGCTAACCCGTGCTGTCCCATACCAACCCGTGCTGTCCCGAGCCGACCCGTAGTGATCCTTGCCAACCCGTGTTGATCCTTTCTAACCCGTGCTGCGGGTGCTGACCCGTGCTGTCCTGCGGAACGGGAGAGATGGACACTCTCTACTCACGGGCTTCCGGCTCGGCCGTCAGGTCGGCTGAGACGAAGTTTGATGGGAACAGCCCCGATCCCTTGTGGGTCTCGCCCTTCCACCAGTTGGGGTCACTGCAGACACAGGCATGAACAATATAAAATAAAATTTTGATTTAAAGCTTTCGTGACTGCAGTAATTCATATTCTTAGCTCTTTCGGTAAAGTCACGTTGAAGGGAAACAATAAAATAATAAAATATATATAAAACAATAAAAATTCTCACGACGTTTTGACCATAACACAAACGGTCGTCATCAGGTGTGAAAAAAAACAACGGCAAGAAACATTTGAAAGTACCTTGGTATCGGAAAAAACAATATAATGATAACCCACAGCGTTGTAACAATGATCAGCTACGGCAGAATAATTCGTTCTGCCATTTTTAAATCTAATTTGTGCTTGCGAATTCGGTCAAGGTACTCTGCAAACCTCCCGGTTATTACCAGAGATTTGTCCACGAGGCCATCTAGATATAAAAATACAGACACAACTTCAACCGAGAGGATGGTTTCAAATTAAGCAACCATTGGAAAGATGTTATAAATCAAGTCAAACGTTAGCTGCCTTTTAATTGTACAGCAATTTTCAGTGGTGGTATGCCAAACTTTAGCGGCTTCTTTCGTTTTCAAAAATGGGGCGTACTCGCACGCCATCGCCTCCCCCCGAACCCCCCTGCAGCATAACAAAAGGGTTTTACTCGCATGTGTTTGCAGTCCACCACCCCCTCCCCCCGAACCCCCTGCAGCTTAACAAAAGGCGGCTTAACCCAGCCCTCCCACCCACCCACGTTCCTTTTTGGCTCTTCCTTCCCCCCCTTAACCTAAATATAAACCCGATCGTCTCAGAGCTGTGCACTTGACACAGATATTCTGCTGTGACTATTCCACCTGAAGATGGAAGCTTGTGTTGCCTCTGTAACGTCGTGATTTAATTGTTTTCTTTTACTTTATTTTACCTACGTGACTTTACCGAATAAAACCAAAGAGTATGAATCCTTGCAGTCACGAAAGCTTCAAATCTAGAATTATAATCCCTTGTTCATCATGCCATCCTTTTTACGTGAGGGTTCTGCCTTTGTAGTGAGGGTTATAAGTTGACGCTGAGGAGGGGGGAGGAGGCGCCTCGCCCCCCCATTTGGAGGACGTCACCTGTTCATAACTATTAATGAGGGGGGCTGGTCAACGTGGAGTGACGTCACGCACGGGACAGACAGACATTCTTGGCTCCTTACAGTAGTAAATAATCACATTGTGTTGTACATTTGGCATTCTCGCTATTGTTTTCATAGCGCACGGCTAACATCACGAAGACAGGCTGTTTTTCACAAAGTCTGCAGGCGTTTCGGAGTAGGGGGTGACATCGTGCTGTGTGGAATCCCAATTGAGCAATCCACAGGGACATTTTTCAAATTTGTAAAATTTGGACCATAACACCAGCACACAATAGCCTACTAGTTTCCAATGATATCACAGGATCACCGTGAAGCAGATGACGTGTAGTAATTTTACCGTTAATATACCCGCAGTAATAACTTGGGAGGCCTTCCGCATTAGAAACACACACCTCTGCAACAAGCGGTAGACGCGCTACCACTGCGTAATGTGGATGGCGGCGGCGTGTGAGTGAGCTGTGTGAGTTGAGCTGTGCGTGAGAATGAGCTGTGAGCTGCGTGTGAGTGAGTGTGAGTGAGCTGTGTGTGTTAGTGAGCTGTATGCGTGTTTAAATTGAGATTGGCGGGTGCAGGGGGGATTAATTCCAGTTCCTCTCAGTCTGAACAGGCAGGTTTGCGTGTACGTACACCCATCATCATAATCCATCTTCACCACCCATAATGATTACCATTCATCACCAACACCATCACCCATTATCAAGACTCCGGTAATCAATAACAGTTTTCATTGAACATTCTTAATCTATAAGTAAATTAAACGTAATTGAGGATTCAGGTTTCACCTAGAAACAGGTTAGTAGGCCTCAAGCCTTAGGCCTAACGGTTTAAACTTTAATTTGGTTCCCCAACTATGGTGTTTAATAACTTAACAATTTCATAGATCGTTAGATGGTAGATCTTCAGTCACCCCTAAATCTGTTAGTGCATTTTTAACTAAATTGAGGATTATCACGCCACAAGCTTCGTCTAATAACAGGTTAGTAGGCCTCAGGCCTAAAGATTTAAACTTTAATTTGGTTCCCCATCTAAGGTATTTAATAACTTAACAACAATTTTACAGAGGTCCTTCGATGGAAAATTATCAGTCACCTCTTAATCTATAAGTATTTTTAAAACTAAATTGAGGATCAATTATCTTGCCGCAGGCTTCGCCTAGTACCAGATTAGTAGGCCTAAATGTATAAACTTTAATTTTTACTCATAGGTGTTTAATAACTTAATTTTTACCGAGATACATGAATTGCAGATTATAAGCCACCCCTTAATCAATAAGTAATTTTGTTAAATGTAATTTGTGGATTAATTATCTGTCATGTTATCGTGGTTATAGCTGTTCATGATTGTTGCAGAGGTAAAGGTGCAGTCCTGCAACTGCCGGCTCATGCCGCCACGAGGAAGCTCTCGAAAGCCTGATGAGATCTTCCTCAAATCACTACTGTGTTGGCATATAGCACATAATATGCTCTCGGCCTTCATGGGGTAAACCAACAAGGTAACATGATTACACTCAACTTGGATATGAAGGCGACAAGACATTATGACTCTTCAATAACAGCTCATAAGATTTGTGGCTATCACATGCAGTATTTTTGATAGAGCATCATTCATGCGAATAGCAATCCCATAATGCAGTGCACGTCTGAGCTGCTGCTCCCCGGGTCTGCCTGAGCTGCTGCTCCCTGCGACTGCCTGAACTGCTGCTTCCTGGGTCTGCCTGAGCTGCTGCTTCCGGGGCCTGCCTGAGCTAATGCTCCCTGCAGCTGCCTGAGCTACTACTACCTGCGTCTGCCTGAGCTACTGCTCCGTGCGTCTTCCTGAGCTGCTGCTCCTTGGGCCTGCTTGAGCTGCTGCTCCCTGGGCCTGCCTGAGCTGCTGCTCCCTGGGCCTTCCTGAGCTGCTGCTCCTTGGGTCTGCCTTAACTGCTGCTGCCTGGTTTGCTCAGAAACGCTCTTCGTAAGCAAGGAGCCGAAGCTTCTGCAGGAAGCCCTCGACAGTCTTGACCCGCTCCTTGAGGTTTTTAGCCTTCACCTGCTTGATCAGGTTATTGCCCTGTTCGCGAATATTCTCGAGAGAAAAAAGAGTAGTGTTAGGTCACATCCGCGCTAGCGTAGAGAAATAGCAACGCACAAAGGTGTGCTTACAAACAGCAAGAACTTGAACGACTAGTCAACTTCATGACCTGGAGCTGACCGCCACCACAAACTCAAGCACACGGGCGAGAAGCCGTACATGTGCGACGAGTGCAGCAAGACATTTCTCGCTCGGCCTACCGGTACGTTTTCACTTGTGTTTAACTGTTGTGGATCTTTGTTATTTTAAAGATGGCAGTTCTGCTGTGTATCCTACTGCTGTCCCTCCCGGCTATATCTAGTGCCAAACAGAACTCCACCACTGGCAGCCCTCGTTATTTCTCGTCTGTACTTGATGCTCCATTTGACACTACACCTGCTAGTGAAACAGCTTCTAGCCACTTCTACACTCCATCATTGTATCCTTTTAAACCCTATCTCTGTCCTATTACTTCACCAGCACTCCTTCCTAACTTAATTCTGCTCTTAAAAAATGTCGCCATATGTAAGCAGCTGCTCTTCGTCCAAGGTTCGTCGCTCTACATCCTTTCACAAAAAATACTTGTGCAAACTATTAATTCTACTTTTTTATATTCTTAGCTCTTTCGGTAAAGTCACTTTGAAGGGAAACAATAAAATAATAAAAAATATATAAAACAATACAAATTATATTTCATTGTTTCCCTTCAACGTGACTTTACCGAAAGAGCTAAGAATATGAATTACTGCAGTCACGAAAGCTTTAAATCAAAATAAAATTCTACTTTTCTTATTTCTGGGAGGTATTGAGCTTCACCCTGGCCCAAATGCAAATAACCCATATAATTCTGTAGATTTTCCTGGCAGAAAAGGTGTTGGTATTATACACGTCAACATCAGAGGGCTTGTGATTAAATTAAGTCAACTAAAACTAGAAGTGTAAAACCTGGACCCGGACATTTTATGCCTTACAGAAACATTTCTCACTCCGGCCGTCAATGACTTGCAGATTACGATTAACAACTACACCCTTTTTCGACTTTACCGAGGGTCTAAAGGAGGTGGGGAATTGCCAAATATGTTCATAGTATTGTTGCATGTTCACCAGCTCATTCCTTATTAAAAAATGTTGCTTTGAAGGTCTGGCTCTCATAATCACTCTCCCTAAAAATTAACAGATATTGGTAGTGTGCTGCTATAGACCACCTAGTGGTAAGGATGTTGAAGCTGGGAACGCAGTGAGGGAGTTTCTTGGGGGCCTCCCTATAGGTGAAATCATTTTAATGGGTGATCTGAATTGGAATTGGCTAAACCCGTCGGCCGTGGCCACAAATTTTGCAGATGAATTTAACCTATTTCAATTAATAAATGTCCCCACAAGACCCAATCTAAAAAATCTGGGACAGTCATCTCTGCTTGACGTCCTATTGACTAATGCCCCTCACAATTTCCCACTTACTGGTGTTCTGGGTAATAACCTTAGTGATCACTCCTTTATATTTGGGGTGAGATCGTCAGCCAGACCCAAAGCCCCCTCTAAATTGGTTGATAAGCACTCCATGAGACACTTCAGCATACAGGCAATTACTAATGTGTTTCACTCGGATATTGACAAGGTCTGTGATATCCACAACCTGACTACGGCTTGGGAGACCTTCAGGTATACGTTTCTCCAAATTCTTAACAAACATGCTCTGTTGGTTAGATTTAAAATTAAAGGCAACTGCCCACCATGGTTTGATCCTTTCATTATTAAGCTCATGAAAACTAGGGACAAGGCTTGGGCATGTGCTCAGAAAAGTAATTTGGTCAAAGACTGACTATAATACAGGATTTTAAGGAATAGATACATCGAAATCAATCTGGGTTCCGAAAAAAATACAGCACCACATCTGCTGCATTAGACGCTGAATGACATTTACAGTAGTCTTGATAATAAGCAGAACTGCGCCAGTCTATTTCTTGACTTGTCCAAAGCCTTTGATACAGTTGACCACAACACCCTGCTTAGTAAACTAAGTTGCCTCCGTTTCTTCAAACACGCAGTGGAATGGTGAAAAAATGACCTCTCTTCTGGCACCCAAACTGTATTCATAGATGGCTGGAGGTCAAACAGTGTTAAGATTACAAAAGGGGTTCCACAGGGTTCCATCCTCGGCCCCCTTTTGTTATCTCTTTATGTCAATGACTTGGGCACTGACCTGGATCATTCCAGGGTAAATCGTTTTGCAGATGACACGATACTGATTACTGCTGGCCGCTCTCCAGATGACGTGATTGCTAAGCTACAGGGTGATTTCAACAAACTACAACATCAGCTAGTTGCTCTTAAACTAGTCCTGAATACCTCCAAAACCAAGGTGCTATGCTTCTCACCAGGACTAAAGCAGGAAGTTATTTTTCCCCAATGACATTTCTTAAATAATTATCAAAGAAAGCCAGTCAAGATCTATAAGTATATTGGGGTCATCCTGAATTCAAAACTGAATTTTAAAGATCACATTGATTATATTGGTAAAAAGACAAAAATAAAAATTGGTTTTCTGTATTGACACAAGCACTGCTTCCCCCCTTTGTTCCGTTTGGAAATGATAAAAGGAACCATACTGCCTCTACTTGACTACTGTGACATCGTATATAAATCAGCCCCCAGTACTATACTGAAGCTTGACTCAATTTATCACTCGGCATTGAACTGCCCATATAGGACCCACCACTGCGATCTCTACATTGGGTCAAACTTAACATCTCTTAATGATCGACGGCTTGTGCATCAGATCTTATTTATTCACGATGTACTTACAAAAAAATCCGCAGACTACCTGCTGGATCTCCTCACTGTTTCGAAGAACAAATGTGACCTAAGGTCTTCGCTCATTTACCAGCTTCACATTCTTTATTGCCGTACAAATACTGGAGGAAGGGCATTTGCTATTGATGCCCCCAGGGTCTGGAATCCTATCGCCAATAAACTGCAACTTGGATCACTACCTGTGAGATCTTCACTCAAAACTGCTCTAGAGGAGTTGTACACCCCTAGCTGTCACTGCTATTCAGTGGCCTGAAATCAAATGTATCGCTCTGGATGACCACTACAAAGTATGATCTTGAATTTTGACTATGTTTGCTGATCTTTAAAGGTGCATTGAAAATGTTTGATACTCTTACTGATGCTCCTGCTGTTATGGAGTGACTCATGCTGCCAGCTATGGCTGCAAAGTTTGGTCGTACATGTTATGCATATTGTTTATTGTTAAATTTGAATCACAGTTCCTATGATCACTGTTACATTGTTTTTATAGCTTTAATTTGGATTATTTCGAAAACGTTTTGGTTTAGCCATATTTGTTTGTTGAAGTACAGAGTTAGACTTGTTATTGTTTGACTTGCATCCCACTGGGATTTTTGCACACAGCATTGATATACGGTGCTTTTTCTGGAAGACTTTGCATGTTTTTTTCCTGGATTTTTCTGCTGCGCGTAGTCACTTTAAGATGTGTTCTTGTTCATGTTTTTGTTTATTGCGGTTGCACCCGATTCAAGAGCCGAATGGCTCACAGGGCTATATCTAATAAATAAACTGAACTGAACTGCTGTCACCAGAGACAAAGCAGAGAAAGAGCATTCACTATCGGATGATGTCGATTGAGGTGCATTTATTCATTGCGAGATTCGGCCAGCATCAGCAGCAAATACAGGTGACAAAGACCTTGCTCAAGGTGTAGGGATTCTTATGGAGCTCCAAGTTGAGAAATACACTTTTTATTTTTATAATGTGGTTACTACAATGGTTACTGCGGTAGGCGCCATATTCATTATTGTAACAAAGAAATCATAAGCTTTACACTTTCCGGCAATAATGCAGGTGTTAAGATGTAGTAGTTACTGCAGTCTTGATTTAAAGCTTTCGTGACTGCAGGAATTCATATTCTTGGGTCTTTCTGTAAAGTCACATAGATAGGTTCAAATAAAATAACAAAAATTAACAACAAAAAACTATGACATTTCGATCGCAACATAAGCGGTCGTCTTCAGGAAAAGGGGGGTTAGCTTCCAAGGCAAACTGTTTATACGGATTTGAAGTGGGCGTAGCCCAAATGTCAGCAGCCAATGATAATGTAAGTGGTGGACAGCCAATCCGATGGTGGTTGGTTTTCCACCAATCAAAGGGCTGCCAGGTGAAACTATGCATGTTAAAGAGAGATTAGGATGTTAATGGGATATCGCAGCGCCGTAACCAAGGGGTCGGCGCGCGAAGTGACTGTGAAAGCGCAAGTTTGAAATGAGCGTAAAGCACAACTAACATCGGAAGGTGGTAGGATGGGAACATCATAGCCAAATATGACTTAAACTGGTTGATAACGTCCTTCCAATAATTTCTCAGTTTGTACCCATCTTATCAGTTGAAATTGTGTCTGTTTGATCAAATTTATTTATCTAAAACGAAGGTACTTTGCAAGCTCACTGGCTATCAACAGAGATTCGTTTATGAAGCCAATCATTCGAAGGATGATATCAACCAGTTTAAGTTATAATTGGCTATGTTCCCATCCTACCACCTTCCGATGTTAGTTGTGCTTTACGCCCATTTAAAACTTGCGCTTCCACAGTTACTTTGTGTGCCGACCCCTTGGTTGCGGCGCTGCGATCTTTCATTAACATAATAATTTTCACCTGGCAGCCCTTTTATTGGTGGAAAACCAACCACCGTCAGGTTGGCTGTCCACCACTTACGTTATCATTGGCTGCTGACATTTGGGCTACACCCATTTCAAACCCCTTATAAACAGTTTGCCTTGGAAGCTAACCCCCCTTCCTGAAGACGACCGCTTGTGTTGCGATCGAAACGTTGTAGTTTTTGTTATTTTTGTTATTTTCTTTGAACCTATCTACGTTACTTTACCGAAAGACCCAGGAATATAGTTACTGCAGTAGTCACTGCAAAAGTGCCTTTAATAGTATATATGTAGTTTGTCTCTTAACTGTGATTCTTAAATATGTTGTTAGTTTTAATGTTATGTCAGAAAGACTTAGTCTGTGTGCTCTCCAGTTGTGTGGGTGAAAAGTGGGCTACGTTTTTTTGCCCAATCCTGTCCAGCTGGCCCGACAAACTAAATAAACAAACAAGATCGTTGAATTCTCGTTGTTGTAGGTGTTGTAGGCAGTCACCTGTCATCCAGCACGGAGATGACGTCGCCGGCGCGGAAGGTCAGCTCGTTGTCCTCCGCCGCCTCGAAGTCGTACATGGCACGCACTTTGCGCGCGTCGCCAGCGGCGCTGCGGGCCAGCGCGGCGCCACCCAGTGCCGTCGCCGTGGGGTACAGCGAGCCCCCCGCACCCACGGGGGCCACCACTGCCAGCCCCGTGGTCTCCTTCAACGACAGCTCGATGGCTGCGGGCGCAGAGCATGGACATCGTTTGAGCCGTGGCTGCTGCTGCTGCTGCTGCTACTACTGATGTGACACTCGTAGCAGCTATAGCAACAAGCTACATTGGCTACAACTGTAGCATCAGTTCGAACAGCATCAGCTAGAACAGCATCAGCTAGAACAGCAGCCACAGCTACAGCAGCAAAAATTACATCGGCAGCAACTACAGGAGCAGCAGCTACAACAGCAGCAGCAGCTACAACAGCATCAGCTACAACAGCATTGTTAAACGCTCATACACCAATCTATTACGAGCCTATCCTCATCTCTTGAGATCTCTCCTGGTTAAAAAAAATACTCTCAAATCCACTCCACTGACAGAGCTGTGACCAACGACACCCGGATACAACGGAGAAGTTGAGAAGCCGGCAGCGGCGATCATCGCGCTCAGAGCCAAGTGAGTGGTGACCTCAGCAGTGTGGGACGGGAGAGAGGCCCCGCTCGCCCGTACTCACCCTTGGCGAGGTCGTCTTCCTCCTGCTTGGCCGTGACGGTGCCGGGGTCCTTAGGCACCAGCGCCGGACTCGCCTTCGCTTGCTCTGCAGCCTGGAGCACAACAAACGGGCACGGCCACCACACGGATCACACGGACGCAAGGGCACGGGCATGGCGACCACATGGACACGTGGGCACTGCGACCACACAGGTCACGCGGACACACGGGTACCACACGGGTCACGCGGACACACGGGCACGGCAACCACACGGGTCACCTGGACACACGGGCACCGCACGGGTCACACAGACAGACGGGTACGGCAACCACACGGGCACGGCGACCACACGAGTCACCTGGACACACGGCACGGCAACCACACGGGTCACCTGGACACACGGCACGGCAACCACACGGGTCACCTGGACACACGGCACGGCAACCACACGGGTCACCTGGACACACGGCACGGCAACCACACGGGTCACCTGGACACACGGCACGGCAACCACACGGGTCACCTGGACACACGGCACGGCAACCACACGGGTCACCTGGACACACGGCACGGCAACCACACGGGTCACCTGAACACACGGCACGGCAACCACACGGGTCACGCGGATACACGGGCACAACCACCACAAGGGTCACCTGGACTCACCGGCACGGCCACCACAAGGGTCACCTGAACACACGGGCATGGCGACCACACGGGTTAAGCGGACACATGGGCATGGCCACCACACGGGTCACGCAGACACACGGGCACGGCCACCACACGGGTGACCTGGCCACACGGGCACGGCCACCACACGGGACACGCGGACGCGACCACATGGATCACGCGGACACACGGGCTGCTGGCATGGCCCAGTAGGAGCACGCTTGCTACTTGCTGCAGGGGTTCGTAGTTCATATCGAGGAGGCTGCCCTGGTTAATACCGAGTATAATGCTACGCGGCGCCGTCTGTTTCACAGTGAACGTTAAAAGATCCCGTGACAAAAAATCGGCTGTGGCTGGACCCTCTTAAAAAAGTCTGGAGACTCGGTGAGGCTTTTCTGTGCCAAAAAGTGTTAAAAATATAATAAAATAATATCATGGGACCTTTTTGCCAATATCAAAGTATGAAAAATAAGAATAGGCTTTCCCCTTTCTGGCAATAAAACAGGAGGTATAGTCTCCTGTATCATTTTTTTCTATATACGTGACTTTACCGAAAGAACCAGAGAGTATGGATTCCTGCAGTCACGAAAGCTTCAAATCAAAACTGGAGGTGTTAAGATTTTCAAACACCAAATAGATTATACCTTTTTGCAAAGCATCAAGTCTCCATTGACCACACGTACTTGTGGTGAAGATGCAAACATGCTCTGATAAGACATACATTGTCTTTGAAACTGATTGGCCTACACCAGAGACAGCCTTCTCTATTGCCTAGTCTCACCAGTGTCAGACCAGAGAATAGCTGCTCAAACTGAGCTATAAATGCTCTGATACTTGCATTGTCTTTGTACTGTTCGCCTAATCAACAAAATCCCAATGTAGCGTGGAATCGGTTCTTTGGATTTCCTCTCTCCACGAGCGTCTACTCTGTGACTCGTCTCTAGTCACATCCTGTGTCCCCGTATCTCACTCCACCGCTTCCATCTCCCACTCTAAACTAAACTATTTTTTATTTTACCAAGTAAGGCCACTGAACTACATAGCTCTTTTTCAGAAGTGACCTGGCCACAAGTAATAGCTCAATGAAGTGGCTTATCATGTGGAAATCTATAGCAGCCAAATACTTTAAATTAATGTTTCTAAATGTAGAGGGAAAAACCGGACATGGAGAAAAATCCACGCGACCACAAGGAGATCATGCAAACTCAGAATATACAGCAGGCGTCAAGGGTTGGGATCGAACCCACAACCTTCTGTATATACCAGGTGAGGTAGTTAACATCTCGCCACTCAGTCTCGCTCTGCTCTCTGTGCCCCGCGCCACTGGCCAGCGACCGTGCGTGGGGGGTGCATGGGGGACGCGTGTGGGACCTGTGAGCCAGGGGCAGGGAAGGCCACACCCTGATCCTTCAGGTTCTTGATCATGGCGGCAATGAGGCTGAGCTGTGGGTCGTTTTTGAACTCCTCGGCCCACTCCATCATCAGGGCTTTCAGCTTCTCACCCACCTTGGGGTGAGCCTGCGCACACACACGCCGGCCCAAGCACGGAGACTCAGTCGTACAAAATCCAACTGGGAACAGACGCAAACGTCATGCCGTGTCGACGGCCTTCATGGGCGAGTCGCAGACACGGTCCCTCGCTTGGGGAACATGAAGCAGGTGGTGACTTGGCCCCTCTGGGCCGGTCGAGGTTCACAGTTCGAAACCGGCAGGCCGCTCTGGTTATTACTGCAGTGTGTGCGTGTAAACCGTCAGCCATTGCGTCATGGTCCAAATTTGCCAGATTTTAAAAATAATACCGCAAATGACTAAATTGTGATATGTGAATGGGGTTTGTTTCTCTGAATTTGGGGGAATCAATATTTCAGTTCAGGATAAAGCACAAAATGCGATCACGTGTAGGAGACAGGCACGATCACGCCACAACATCACATCACATCAACACAACACCATCAAACCACATCACCAAACTACTGTCACGATGCACCATCACAAACATCACCACGACATCGCGTCACACCACACCATCACGTCCCAACGTATATTCACATGGGGGCCATCATGTCTGTGTTATCTATATGGTGATGGTTCTGTCTGGATGTCAGCTGTTGCTGTGTGACAGCACGCAGGGATTATTGTTTTTTATGTTTACAACATGTGCACATACATACTCCTATTAGCATGTTTGGCTATGTACGATGCGAAAGAAGTTCAACATACATGCACATACATAGGTGTGCTCACCTTGTTAAGGACGTTGTTTACTTCATTTGCAAATTCCCTTGAACAGACTTCCAAGTGAAAGATCTTCCCACAGTTGGACACACAGGCCCCCAGGAGCTGCAGAGGTGCAACATACACACACTCACTCATGGTGGGCCCATGGGAGCCCGGCATGGCACACGCACACACATACTCACGGTGGGGTTATGGGAACCCATCACGGCACACATACAGTGAGGGAAAAAAGTATTTGATCCCCTGCTGATTTTGTACGTTTGCCCACTGACAAAGAAATGATCAGTCTATAATTTTAATGGTAGGTTTATTTGAACAGTAAGCGACAGAATAACAAAAAAATCCAGAAAAACGCATGTCAAAAATGTTATAAATTGATTTGCATTTTAATAAGGGAAATAAGTATTTGACCCCCTCTCAATCAGAAAGATTTCTGGCTCCCAGGTATCTTTTATACAGTTAATGAGCTGAGATTAGGAGCACACTCTTAAAGGGAGTGCTCCTAATTTCAGCTTACCTGTATAAAAACACCTGTCCACAGAAGCAATCAATCAATCAGATTCCAAACTCTCCACCATGGCCAATACCAAAGAGCTCTCCAAGGATGTCAGGGACAAGATTGTAGACCTACACAAGGCTGGAATGGGCTACAAGACCATTGCCAAGCAGCTTGGTGAGATGGTGACAACAGTTGGTGCGATTATTCGCAAATGGAAGAAACACATAAGAACTGTCAATCTCCCTCAGCCTGGGGCTCCATGCAAGATCTCACCTCGTGGAGTTGCAATGATCATGAGAACGGTGAGGAATCAGCCCAGAACTACACGGGAGGATCTTGTCAATGATCTCAAGGCAGCTGGGACCATAGTCACCAAGAAAACAATTGGTAACACACTACGCCGTGAAGGACTGACATCCTGCAGCGCTCGCAAGGTCCCCCTGCTCAAGAAAGCACGTAAACATGCCCGTCTGAAGTTTGCCAATGAACATCTGAATGATTCAGAGGACAACTGGGTGAAAGTGTTGTGGTCAGATGAGACCAAAATGGAGCTCTTTGGCATCAACTCAACTCGCCGTGTTTGGAGGAGGAGGAATGCTGCCTATGACCCCAAGAACACCATCCCCACCGTCAAACATGGAGGTGGAAACATTATGCTTTGGGGGTGTTTTTCTGCTAAGGGGACAGGACAACTTCACCGCATCAAAGGGACGATGGACGGGGCCATGTACCGTCAAATCTTGGGTGAGAACCTCCTTCCCTCAGCCAGAGCATTGAAAATGGGTCATGGATGGGTAATCCAGCATGACTGACCCAAAACACATGGCCAAGGCAACAAAGGAGTGGCTCAAGAAGAAGCACATTAAGGTCCTGGAGTGGCCTAGCCAGTCTCCAGACCTTAATCCCGTAGAAAATCTGTGGAGGGAGCTGAAGGTTCGAGTTGCCAAACGTCAGCCTCAAAACTTTAATGACTTGGAGAAGATCTGCAAAGAGGAGTGGGACAAAATCCCTCCTGAGATGTGTGCAATCCTGGTGGCCAACTACAAGAAACGTCAGACCTCTGTGATTGCCAACAAGGGTTTTGCCACCAAGTACTAAGTCATGTTTTGCAGAGGGGTCAAATACTTATTCCCCCATTAAAATGCAAATCAATTTATAACATTTTTGACATGTGTTTTTCTGGATTTTTTTGTTGTTATTGTCTTTCACTGTTCAAATAAACCTACCATTAAAATTATAGACTGATCATTTCTTTGTCAGTGGGTAAACGTACAAAATCAGCAGGGGATCAAATACTTGTTTCCCTCACTGTACACTCACGGTGGGGCCACGGGAGCCTGTCACGGAGCACACACACTCACGGTGGGGCTATGGGAGCCCGGCATGGCACACACATACTCACGCTGGGGCCATGGGAGCCCGACATGGCACACACACACTCACGGTGGGGCCATGGGAGCCCGACATGGCACACACACACATACTCACGGTGGGGCTATGGGAACCCATCACGGCACACACACACTCACGGTGGGGCCATGGGAGCCCGACATGGCACACACATACTCACGGCGGGGCTTTGGGAGCACGTCACGGAGCACACACATGCGCAAGCCCCCAGCCCGCCCAAGGGTAGCCATCTCATGCTCCACCGTGAAAAACTAAGCAGACAGCATGTCCCTATTCTAAATGAGTTTCTCCACACAAAAATGAATGTTTTCTACACACATCATTGGCCGCTCGGCCTTCTAGGATCAGAAATCTTCAGAAAAATTCGTTCAATATAAGCAAATGTTTGGCAAGTTTCGCCTTACAGTGTTTCATCAAGTCAGGCTTGCTTAAACCGAAGATAAACTGCCAGATGTTTATAGGCAAAGACTGACTCGGATAACAGTTTGTATTGTATGTACATAAATGCATCGCCTCCAGGCGGCGCAAACGGTAGCCTCACACGACACAGGCAGAGGGTACTCACAGTCAACGCCTGCATGGCCACGTGAGGAACCTTGTTATTCACTCTCTTCATGGTCGCCCGGAGGCAGTCTTTGGGCCTGTAGAGCAAAGACAAAAACCCCCCCTATAGACTTTAACAGACTATTAGGACAAATGCTGTTAGTGAGCAGCTATAAAGGCTGGCATGGCACATGAGGGGGTGGGTGGCCAACACCACGCCCGGCCACCTTTGTCTCCCGAGTGATAATATTTACACACCGCACCAGGTACTCATTTGAGGATGAGTCGACCTAGGGGAGGCCCAGGACTAGTTCAGATAATCATCACTTGTGTTGGCCGTGAGCAGGAATCGAACTCGGGTCACTGGGTTCGTAGCACGCTAACAGTTTCATTACTGCTCCCGTGTGTGCCTATAAAGCAAGCGCACACACACACACACACAATATCTTACAGCCTTAGAACATGTAGAAGGTTAGTGCCAAATACATCCACATTTGAAACTGTGTTTTAAATACTGTATATTAATGTTTCTAAATATTAACCTTACCCATGTACCGATAGTTACATTTTTAAGTGCAATGTAATCGAGGAATTGCCAAATCTTGAATTTGTTGTTGACAAATCTGCAGGAATGTATGTAGTAGTTTCAATTTAACTTGAATGTTCAATTTATATGTAATTATTTACTTTTAGTGACTTTTCTCTCTCTTACTCTCATATTGCTTCTTGCATTGTTTATTGATGTAACTCCCCTACTGGACATCTGTAAAGGAGCGCTTCATAGCTCATTAGATTCCTTCAGTCTAAAGTAAAAATTCTGATTCTGATAAACACTCATTCAGGGGGTTGGCCAAACATCCCAACATAGGACCACGGAGCTTTGGAAATTGTGCCATAGGTTCTGACTTCCTTCACCCGTCAAAAGTTCTACAGCTTTTGGAGACGCAAGCACATGACAGGATTTTATACAAATTAAAATGGATATTATTATTAGAAGTTTGACATGACAGGTTTACATAGCAATGATCTCCACTGTACCTCTAGAAATGTTATGCCACGGAACATGTGCACGGGTGGGAATGGTAGTGACACCACCACCACAAAAGCAGCAGCTACACAAAGAAACTGCCACAATTCTTTGTCCAAGCACTTTTATAAATTTCTTTAACTGTGCAAAACCAGCATGCACTCCCAGACATTGGTGTTAAGCTGAATAAGCACACTCAGCAAGCAACACACATTCTGTGTGGTATGAACTCGGTAATAAAGCTCAAAGCGAAGAGGGCATTGCAGATATAGATGCCATCATGGTTCACAATCGCCCGCTTATGCAAGATCCCACTGCTCTAAGCACCCCACCCACCCCACTCCCCAGACCTCCAGCAACCATCCCGGCAGCCTCACTACCACCATCTGGCTGGCTTTAGGTCACACTAGCTTTACTACCCGGCTTCGCCCGAGACTTGGATTCTTGTCTTGGATTAATACACGGCCTACGCGGAGGGTTGGGGGGGGGGATGCCAAATTTCAAGTTTGCTGCATATTGGGAAGTATGCTAAACATTTCGAACAGACACATTAACAAATTTCCTATTTTAATATATAGATAACTCTGGGTGCCACTCTACTAATGTCCGTCTCAAAATACCCTCCCCCATCCTGCGAACCAACCTGACCCATCGCAAACTCCTCTCCCTGATTACATCTATAGGGGTTTCACACCGCAATCTATTCTCCACCCTCCAAGTTGTTTACTCTGCGGTCCCCTCTGGGTCGATTTACATTTCTGCTGGAGGAATTCTGTAGAAAATTAGCGCACGTTCTCTGGGTGGTGGAACGGAATGGAAAACAGTGGAATGTTAGAGGTACGTGTGCGTTTTAATGGATTCACATCTGCAACTCAGATACAGTACGATCTCACTGAGGCACTCAATGTGCCACCGCCAATATGCCCTTGTTGAACAACACAAATGCCCAGAAGATATGGCTCCTTCACATCTGTGTCCCTCAATATAAATCACAGAGGTATTAGTTACACAACCCATCGGCCGCTCGGCCTTCTGGGAGTGCATAATTTTGGCAGCATTCATCCAATGCAAGCAAACTCTGGACTGGTTTCAAAATAGTTTAATCAGCAGTCAGGTTTACCTTGAATCAATGCTAGTGAACTGGCGATGTTACAGGCAACGACCCGTTCTTTCAGGTATGGTCCTAGTTTGATGCAAAATGATACAATACATTTGTCATTGCATAGATCACTGCATTGACCAGTGAGTAATGTGGGCGGTATAATATCGCTTCCAATCCTCATGTGGAGCCCAAGGGGCCACGGTTCTCCCTCACCCTTGCGGAGAATGTCCAATCTTGTCGCAGACGTCGAGAATCAGAGCCCAGTCCTCCGTTGTATTCAGTTCACTGGTCGCTTTTTCTGCACAGGCCAGAACCAGCAGCCCACACACAGTGAGGCACGTTACCCATGAATGAGACAACACACACACATGCACAGCCCATTGTGCCAATCTCCTGTTGGATGAGGGCCTTCCCACGCCACGTGGATCTTATTTGACCATGCTTCACCACGCAGGTCATTACAGGCTTGTGAAAGTGAGGAACATAGACATTGGAGGATTGTACAGTACAATACTATATTGTGCTGCCTACATCGAAGGCCCTTGATGCAATCTTTCCCATGTCCCCCCTGAGTGTCGTGGGTCCCAGTGGCGAAGCAGTGGTCGTGTTGGCACAGGAAGAGCGCGTGGATGGGTCTGGGTGTTTCTGTGATCCTCACCGCCCCCCTACACCCCGTGACCCTCACACCCCCTACACCCCGTGACCCTCACACCCCCTACACCCCCGTGACCCTCACACCCACTACACCCCGTGACCCTCACACCCACTACACCCCGTGACCCTCACACCCACTACACCCCCGTGACCCTCACACCCCCTACACACCGTGACCCTCACATCCCCTACACACCGTGACCCTCACACCCCCGTGACCCTCACACCCCCTACACCCCCGTGACCCTCACATCCCTTACACCGTGACCATCACACCCCTTACACCCCGTGACCCTCACACCCACTACACCCCCGTGACCTTCACACCCCCTACACCCCCGTGACCCTCACACCCCTTACACCCCGTGACCCTCACACCCACTACACCCCGTGACCCTCACACCCCCTACACACCGTGACCCTCACACCCCCTACACCCCGTGACCCTCACACCCCTTACACCCGTGACCCTCACACCCCCTACACCCCCGTGAGCCTCACACCCACTACACCCCGTGACCCTCCCACCCCCTTGACGTGGGGCTGCCCCTGTGCACCAGAGGCTGCCACTCCATGCGTGATGCAGCGGCTGCTGTATCCTAAGGGGACTCGGGCAGCAATGTCCGGGAGTCTACGAGTCTGAGGGTCGGAGGTTCTGGAGCCAAGGGAATGGTGGGGCCGACATGGAAGGTTCACCCCAACCACAGGACGGTCAGCCCCCCGTAGACAACTGCCAGCACAGAAAGGCACCGAGAAATGGAGAAACACAGAGACGTGGAGACAACCACACGGGGACACGGAAACATGACGAGGAGACACGGATACAGGGGGGATGCGGGAACAAGGAGACACAGGGACACACGGAGACACGGAGACACAGGGACACGGAGACACACGGGGACACGGAGACACAGGGACACACGGAGACACAGGGACACACGGAGACACAGGGACACACGGAGACACAGGGACACACGGAGACACAGGGACACGGACACACGGAGACACAGGGACACACGGAGACAGGGACACACGGAGACACAGGGACACACGGAGACAGGGACACACGGAGACACACGGGGACACGGAGACACACGGGGACACGGAGACACAGGGACACACGGAGACACAGGGACACAGGGACACACGGAGACACAGGGACACACGGAGACACAGGGACACACGGAGACACAGGGACACACGGAGACACAGGGACACACGGAGACACAGGGACACACGGAGACACAGGGACACACGGAGACACAGGGACACGGACACACGGAGACACAGGGACACGGACACACGGAGACACAGGGACACGGACACACGGAGACACAGGGACACGGACACACGGAGACACAGGGACACGGAGACACAGGGACACGGACACACGGAGACACTGGGACACGGACACACGGAGACACAGGGACACGGGAGACGTGAAACGGAGACACGGACACATGGCAAGGGTACCAGGGGACAGGGAGACACGGACACATGGCAAGGGTACCAGGGGACAGGGAGACACGGACACATGGCAAGGGTACCAGGGGACAGGGAGACACGGACACATGCTGACACTATCGCACTGTGCATTACACAGCATTGTTGTTACCCGTGCTATTACCGTCATCAATATTGCCGTGGCTGTTGTTGTGGATGGCGTTATTACAAACGACACTGCAGTGGTGCGAGTGTGAGTATACACGTATGGAGGTGGTGGTTGTTGCTATACACGTCTGGGTGGGTCGTGGTGGTGGTGGTGTTGTTGTTCTAGATTTGTTGTTGCTGTTTCTGCTCTCCACCCCCTCCACTCGCCAGGCTCCGGGCCCGTCACGTTCTTACCCACGTCCGCGTCGAACGGGTTGGATGTGAACAGCGGCATCTTCTCCTCGTCTCCCCTCCTCCCCTCCTCGTCACCTCGTCTCCCGTCCTCCTCCTAGTCTACCCTCCTCCTCGTCACCTCGTCTCCCGTCCTCCTCCTCGTCTCCCCTCCTCCCCTCCTCGTCACCTCGTCTCCCGTCCTCCACCTCGTCTACCCTTCTCCTCGTCACCTCGTCTCCCCTCCTCCTCGTCACCTCGTCTCCCGTCCTCCTCCTAGTCTACCCTCCTCCTCGTCACCTCGTCTCCCGTCCTCCTCCTAGTCCACCCTTCTCGTCACCTCGTCTCCCGTCCTCCACCTCGTCTCGCGAGCCCCGGGTCTCCAGGCGCGATCCGCGATTCCGTGGAGAAACAAAACCCCGACTCCACTGTCGATTCCCGAGTGAGTGCATCGTTTCACCATTGAAATCGTAACGATCCGACCGCGCGTGAGTCAATCGTCCGATTCGTGAAGCGCGTGAGCGCGGTTTTCTTCTCCCCCCCCCCCCCCCCCGCAAAATCGATTCCCGAATTCCCGGTAAGGTGTTGGATCGATTCCCGCCCACTGTAGGGTTTGTCGTTTAGTGTATCGATTCTGTTATTTCTTCAATCGATCCACATCTCATCGTGGTTTACGATTCGATTCGTACATTCTCTATTGCAGGACAACGTTGCACTTGCATCGATTACCATCACGATCGCTTCGCAAACACGCGAATCGATTCCCGACGGGTGGCGTCGCGTCACAGGGGGTGTGGCAACCGCCACCGTTCCGATTCTCTCCACTCTCCATCTCGATTCCATTCCGAAATTGATCCTCGCGGGGACTGCATTGCTTCCCTTTAAACTCGCTGATTCATCCCACGTCGCAATTCGGCTCGCGCGCCGATTCCAGAATCGATTCCTTTGCGTGGCGTTCCAGAGTGGCAGGGCTCCCAGCGGGCCCAGCAACAGAGACAGCCAACGACTGAAGACGCCAGTCAATGACAATCGCCGTGCGCACGCCTTAATAGGACGGTGGCCCTTGTACGTGCGACAGACAAGGGCCGTTGCCCACGAAACGTCGCCCAGTGTACGTGCTGAGGCCACACGCTCGATGTTATTTCAGACTGGGTCACTGTCCCATCCTGGATGTCACGCAGACGACCCCCATCAATTCTTCCAAAACTGAAATACGTTTATTTCCCTCTCCTCTCCACCCTGTCCTACACCTCATTCCCGTCCCTTCTCCCTCACTCCTCCGGTCTCCTCTGCCAGCAAACCCCGGGCTCATCTTCAGCTCTACCCTCTCCAACTACCTCTGCCACTGCCCGCACTCGCCACTGACACCGATTCAGCATTGGCACACCAATCATCTCGCTCTCTGCTGCTAAACTCACGGTTCACTCCCTCGTCTTCACTCACCTTGACTACTGAAACTCTTCTTCTCCGCCTTCCGGCCTACGCCTTCACTCTTCAACAACATACATTATTACTCGGCCCGGATCATTCTTAAGACCCCCCACAATTCCCACAATTGTGCTCTACTTTCCCAACTCCACTGGCTCCCTGCCTACAATCGTCTGTTTAAATGTCTCACTCTAGTCTACAATTCCCTCCACGGTCTGGCCCCACGTTATCTCGTTTCATCTATTACTACTGTCGCATCTACAGCCCCTCTTTGTGCCTCCCTCGCCCTGTGCCCAGTCTCGATCTCTCGTTCCTTTTCCCTTCTTGTGCCCTTTCACTGAAACCAACTCCCACTGCAGCACACAGAGCAATCATCTTCACTATAACAACCTGCAGCTTCCGTTCCTTCTTTCGCATGGCTGCAAGGCTGTGTTATGGACCCGGCCGGTGGGGCCAGTGCCCGGGGCCTCAGACTGCCAGGGGGCCTCCAAGCCTCAGGCTGCGCACGGTGCGTGGCCCAAGACTCCCCAAGGAAGTTAAACGCCAGGTCCCTCAGTGCGCGCAGCGCAAGCTGACCACTAGGCCCCTGGGTGCTTATAGCGTGAGCTAACCACTAGGGCCCCCAAGACCCCTCAGTGCTTACAATGTGAGGGCCCCCAGACCCCTTGGTGTTTAAAACGTGAGCTGACCACTAGGGCCCCAGGGCCCCGCAGCGCTTACAATGTGAGGCCCCTCGGTGCTTAAAGCGTAAGCTGACCACTGGGGCCCTTGGGCCCCTGGGTGATTACAGTGTGAGTTGACCACTAGGGCCCCCAAGCCCCTCATTACATGCATCGAGCATAACACCTGGGCCCCTTGGTACATACAGTGCATGTGTATTCATAATAAAGGTTTTTGGGTTAGATCGCGTTAGTTATAAATGTGTCGTAACACTCCACCACCCGACACGGCCAATCAGCAAAAAAGTGTCACGTTGACAAAAGACAAATAGTTCACTACTTTAGCCCACCGGTGTGTTGAAGAGTGAATCCACAACATTTACAGTTTTGAGTACTGTGACGTTTCGCTGGTAATTACATCCAGCAGCATCGAGCAATTCGCCAGAAAAATGCATGTGTAGTGGGTTCAATTGAGGCGCACACTTTATCTTGGAGGCAACACGTTTATTCACTAACTCCAACAGGTAACTCTTTATATACTTAGTTTTTTCGGTAAAGTCACGTTGAAGAGAAACAACAAAATAATAAAAAATATAAAAAACAATAAAAAATTCTCACGACGTTTCGACCATAACTCAAACGGTCGTCTTCAGGTGTGTTGGTTCGCATAAATTTATTTTTAAACGGCGCATTTATTTATTTATAAAAAAACGTTAGCGCCACGCGCAACGATTTGGCAGTTTACCCAGGACTAGTCCATCTATATTCTGAAAAGAGGAGGGGGGAGACGAAATTTTTTATAATGTATGCTGTCTGAAAGCCACTGTAAGCGTGAACAATCAATTAAGACCTGAAATGGTTTATCAAATCTTTCCAATGATTGCTAAGATAGAATCCATCTTCTCGGTTGAAATTGTCTCTGTGCTTGTATATGTGGATAGCCTCATGAACGAATCTCTCATGGAAGCCAGATGGCTTACAAAGAACCTCTGTCTTGGAAAAGTCAATGGCATGTGAGCCTACTGAATTAGAACAATGATCTGCCATGGCCGAGGTGTTGGTCCTACCGTGTTTAAGGTCTGCTTTGTGTTCACGAATGCGGTCCAAGACATGGCGTTTGGTTTCTCCAATGTAACTACTACCACAGAGGCAACTTAGTTTGTAGACACCAGGGTATTGTATGTCCGGAATCACATCTTTTACAGACGGAACCAGATCACGGATTTTATGTAATGTGTTGAAACGGACCTGGATCTTGTGTTTATTCAAGATTTTGGAGATCTTTTTTGTGATCCCAGCAATGTAGGGTAAAGTGATGGTTTTGAAAGGCTCCTCAAGAGGGTTCTTCTTCATGGTTTGAGTGATAGCTTTGCGGATTGTATAGTCGGAGTAACCATTAGCCCTAAGAGCTTGGTGTACGTGCTTGAGTTCACTGCTTATGTGTTCCTGGTCGGATATGCATTGGGCTCTATGATACAGAGTCTTGATTAGAGAATTCTTCTGTGATGGATGGTGGTGGGAATCCGGTTTCAGATAAGCATCCGTATGGGTAGCTTTCCTGTAGACAGAGTGGCTCATTGAACCATCAGGTCTCTTTTTAATTAGGACATCCAAAAAAGGTATCTTGCCATCTATTTCGACTTCCATGGTAAATCTTATGGCTGGGTGTATGTAATTGATGTGGTCGAAGAATTGGTCTAGAGCAGGCCGGCCATGTGGCCAGATGACAAAAGTGTCATCCACGTACCTCTTCCATAAGGTTGGGCGCAGAGTGGCAGTCTGGATGGCGTCAGTCTCAAATTTCTCCATGAAAATGTTAGCTATAACTGGAGAAAGGGGGGAGCCCATTGGGGTGCCCTCAGTTTGTTTGTAGAAAGTTCCATTCCAAGTGAAGTATGTATGCGAAACGAATTCTTTTCAAAACTAGCTTAGCTCTTATCTCAGAAAAAATCAGACTTATACGCACCGAACTAGATCAGTTAGACAAGACACTCTACAAATCACACTTATCATTGACGGCAACAATGTCCACATCGGATTGGGAACATGTAGACAATATGACTGCCTCTTCAGCTGCTACTATGTCGACCAAATGTAAGGAAAACCTGATTTCCAAATTTAACCTCCTCTTCAACAAAAGACCGGACCCACACACCAAAAAGTTAGACGTTAATAAAGTCGTAATTAATCGCAGTAACAGTTCTATTTCCGATGGTCTGAAATCCGTTTTAGCTAAAGGTCTAAACTTTGCAGTCACACCTAAACACATACCAGTTAATGATATAATTGCCCAAGTAGACGTTGCTCTCAGGGGCCTGGGTCACATCGCTGCAGACGTAGCAAGATCTGAAATCGCTGCAACCCTCAAAAACGCTAAGATGCCAGCTAGCAACCTCAGCAAAGATGAGCGTTTTGAATGATATAAATGAAAAAAGAGGAATGATATTGTAGTCCTCTCAGCTGACAAAGGCAATGCTACTGTCATCATGGATAAAATAGAATATAACAACAAAATTAAATAATTACTCGACGATGGTAGTTATACAAAAATAAAAAGAGATCCCACCAACAGCCTCGTCACACAAACCAACAAAATAATTTCTGATTCAACCGCATTAATTGATCAATCTAAACAGTTTTCGTTGAAACCTTCTGCTGCCAGGCCACCAAGATTATACGGCTTACCAAAAATACATAAAGTAGATACACCCCTTCGTCCCATAGTCTCTACTATCGGCTCCCCCACCTACAAACTAGCTCGTTTTTTGTCTGAAATCCTGCGTCCTTTCACTGGAAAGACCACCTCTGCGGTACAAAATTCTACTCACCTGGTATCGACAATCAAGGGTATTTCCCTGTCCCCAGACGACCTGCTTGTCAGTTTTGATGTAGTTTCCTTATTCACCAAGGTTCCTGTACCTGACACCATTGCAATCATTGAAGACTTAGTTCATCAAGGACTAAACACTGAGGTACCCCCCTGGTGAGACACTGTTTAACCAATACATACTTCACTTGGAATGGAACTTTCTACAAACAAACTGAGGGCACCCCAATGGGCTCCCCCCTTTCTCCAGTTA